TGAAGTGTTCCTTGTTGTAGGTAGTTTGAATGGTGCTTGCTCTGCTTCAGGTTTAGACGACTTTACAGTTGTCTGTTTTTCAGTGTTCTCTAAAAATGCTGGTTTTACTCTGTCGATGCTAACAGTATCATGTTTACCTGCTCTTTCCACTGTAACCGTTTTAGTGTCCTTTCGGATGATTTTAAAAGGGCCGTCGTAAGGAGTCTGTAAGGGCTGTCGTACTCTATCATTTCTGACGAATACATGTGAGCATTTGTCTAGTTCATTGGGTACGAATGATTTCACCTTTTGGGTTCGTGGTTTAACGGACCTAATGGATTCCATGTGGTGTTTTAATTGTTGTACGTAGTTGGTTATATCAGCTGGAATATCTGTTGCACGGTCAAAAAATTCACCAGGCAAACGTAATGTTGTTCCATAAACCAACTCAGCAGCACAACAACCGAGGTCTTGTTTGATGGTTGAGCGAATGCCTAATAATATCAAAGGAAACTTGACATCCCATTTGTAATCCCCTCGTGCGGCCGTCAAAGAGGCTTTTAGCTGTCTGTGGAACCTTTCTATCATTCCGTTAGCCGACGGATGATAAGCAGTAGTTCTAATTCTCTTTATACCGAAAGTATCCGTAAGTTGTTGAAATAGTTTGCTTTCGAATTGCGTTCCACGGTCGGTCGTAATTGTTGTAGGGACACCGAAGTTTGTAATCCAGTGTTTCACCAGCTTCTTCGCCACTGTTGATGCTGACGTATCTTTTAACGGAACAGCTATTGGCCATCTCGTAAATCTATCTATACATGTTAATATATGCGTGTAACCATTAGAAATCGGTAATGGTCCAACAATGTCGATATGAATATGGTCGAACCTAGCGGTAGCGGTGGGAAAAATTCCTGTAGGAGATATGATGTGCCTATGTACTTTTGACTTTTGGCATTGGATGCATTCCCGTGACCATTTTCGTACGTCTTTGTTTATTTTTGGCCATACAAATCTATCTGTGATAAGCTTTACAGTGGCTTTTATACCTGGATGAGATATATTGTGTAACTTCTCAAAAATATTTCGTCTCATACCGTAAGGTACAAAAGGGCGAGTTTTACCTGTTGAGGTATCACAAGTTAAGGTGTCCTTGTTGTTTATGGGGATGTTTTGGAATAATAATTTCGTTTCCTTAGACTGCAAAAGTTTTTGTAGCTCCGTATCGAGCTTTTGATGCTTTGCCATTTCTTGATAGTCTATATCAGGGATCGAGAAGGTATTGATATTTAATCTCGATAGTGCATCTGCTGCCTCATTTGCATTGCCCTTAATATAGCGTATATCAGCTGCAAATTGTGAAATGAATTCTAGTTGACGGATTTCGCGCGGACTGTATTTATCATGATTGTACATCAAGGACTTAGTTAGAGGTTTGTGATCAGTATATATCGTGAAAGAATTGCCTTCTAACATATAGCGAAAGTGTTTGATGGCTAAGTAGATAGCCAACAGTTCTCTACCGAATGTGCTATATTTTGTTTGCGTTGCGTTTAGCTTTTTTGAGAAAAATGCAAGGGGTTGCCATTGTTCATTGACACGTTGCTGAAGTACAGCACCTACTGCTACATTAGAAGCGTCGGTCATTATTGCTAAAGGTGCATCAACCTTTCGTCGTGCGAGTAATGCTTCTGTGCTTAAAGCGCTTTTCAACTGATCAAATGCTTGGATTGCTTGCGGTGTCATTGCTAATGATTTAGCTCGTCCCCTTAATAAATCAGTTAATGGTTTTGCTAAGTCTGCACATTTAGGGATAAAACGTCTGTAAAAGTTGATCATCCCAAGGAAACGTCGTAGTTTCTTGAATGAATCAGGCAAAGGATAATTTTTGATAGCTTGTGTTTCCTCAGGAACTGGTTTAATGCCTTGATTATCAAGTACGTGACCTAAAAAGGTGAGGGATTGTTTTCCGAACTCACATTTGTCAGGATTGACTGCTAACCCATACTCGTTTAGCTTCTCAAAAAGCATTTTCAGATGAGTTAGATGTTCATTTTCATCTTTGCTTGCTATAAGTAGGTCATCTATGTAAGCATACACAAACGGTAAGCCCCGTACCACTTGGTCAATAAAACGTTGGAAACTTTGTGCAGCATTCCTTAATCCGAAAGGCATGCGGACGAATTCGTATAGTCCAAAAGGGGTAGTAATGGCTGTTTTAGGAACATCGTCCGGATGAATTGGAATGTGATGGTAAGCACGGACGAGATCAATTTTTGAAAAAATCGACACGTCAGATAGGCTATGAGTAAAGTCATGCAAATGTGGGAGAGGGTATCTATCTGGTATGGTCCGGCTATTGAGAGCTCTATAGTCACCGCACGGTCTAAATTCAGAAGAGTTTTTCTTAGGTACCATATGGAGCGGTGATGCCCACGGACTATCGGAGGGGCGTATGATGCCCAACTCAATCATTTTGTTGAATTCGTTCTTTGCGATAGCCAGACGAGAGGGATCAAGGCGTCTTGGACGTGCGAACACTGGTGGACCCTCTGTCTTTATGTAATGTACGACGGTATGCGTCGGTTTGTCATGTTTGAAACTCGGTCGTAATAAGTCTGGAAACTGATTAAGTAAATTGACGTATTTGTCGTTCTCTTGATGTGGTTTAACTAATAAATGTATGGAAGTCTCATTTGATATAATTCCTCTAATTTCCTTACTCTGTTCGTCAAGGACAAGTTTCCTATTTCTGACGTCTACCAGTATTTTGTGGAATTGCAGAAAATCAATGCCGATTATAGGAACGAGGATGTCCGCTATGATGAAACTCCATGAAAAATTGGATTTAGGACCGAAATTTAATTGTAACCGCCTTTTGCCGTACGTCTTGATTTCAGACTTGTTTGCTGCTTGTAGTTTTAGTTTGGGGTCAGGTGTGTTTTTCTCGAGTGCAGTGGGTGGTACTACACTAACTTCTGCCCCAGTGTCGACTAAAAACTGTGTACCGGTTCTTTTGTCTGTAACATATAAAAGACGACTGTCTTGAGTGTTGTGGTCAGTGAGTGCAGTCGTCATTAACCGGCGGTCTTCACGTTCCCTTTTCTGTGTGCTTGCAAAGTTACAAGGCGGAATACATTTTCTAGCTTGTTTGCCGTATGTTCTATGGTACCAACAAATGTTGTATCTAGTAGTGCTTGGACTACGTCGTCTACGGCTTGTGGATGTTCCTCTACGCTTACTGTGGGAAGCATTCAATAATTGAATCTGGGCTATCTGTTTCGTAAGAGTATCAACTGATCGTCGTAACTCGGCGATCTCATCAGTTGGACTTGATTGGATGTGAGATACAGGGTGAGTCTTGGACCGTTCGTAAATTCTGTCGGCTATGTCTGCTAACCTATCGAAATCGACGTCTCCGTCTCCGATTGCAAGTATCTGTTGAATGTTTTGAGGGAGACGTCTGAGCCACAATTGATATAGTAGACGTTTGTCTACTGTACGATTTCCTAATAAGTTTGTGATGTGGCGTTTTAACTGTGATGGTGTGTTGTCACCTAGCTCCACGCTGGCTAAAAGTTGATCAATTGTCTGTTGGTCGGTGAGAGATGTGACACGAATGACCTCTCTTTTTAGACAATCGAATGGTGAGTCAGGATCCGGCTTGAAAATGACATCAGGCACTTGTTCAATGATGTCGTCCGGCAGCAGTGAGTTTGCGTAACTAAATTTCGTACTCTGATTTGTGATTTTGTTTGCAACAAAAAAGCTTTCTAAGCGAGCAAACCAGAGTTCAGCCTTTCGTGGATTAAAAATAGGTAAAGGTACAGAAATGGCACCCACGGAAATAGATTTAGATGATAGGCTTAGCGAATTATCAACTGACATGGTACGAAGGAGCAATAATAATAATAATAATAATAATAATAATAATAATAAGTTGAGGTTTGAAATATACGATATGAAGAAATCGAAAATAACAACAAAAAATATATAAGACTCACCGAAAAAAAATTGTCACTTTGGGTATATATATATGAGAATATACAGTAATAATTCCAAAGGGAAAATGTTATGAGTGAATTTATTATATTTGTCAATGGATTGTTATTAATTATAATAATAATTCCAATATGCAGTTCTTTATGATACGAGTGAGAAGAATGCAGCAGACTTTGTAAGAAAATGATGCGCGTTCTAAAGGCGGGTCACCAATATGTGGTGACGGTGGCTCGCTAATTTGTTGAGGCTAATATCTTCAATGTCTGACTCCAATAAATAATATCCCGTAAACTGAGTATTTTTGATAGGCTTAATCTCCTAGTAGAATTATAGATTTACTCGAGATTATTGAGAAGCCTGAACACCCATTACAGAGATAGTTTATTGTTAATGATTAATAAAGATCCACAAACGTAGGACGAACAAGCACACAATGAAACAATGTGAGTGAGTCAGTGTGTGTGACAAAAATCCATATATATTTTTGAGAGTTAATCAGGTGTGGATAAATTATTGATTATCTGTATATTACCACCAATAGGAGAATAGCTTAGGGGTTAATGTACAGACATGCATTCGATCATACACACCGAAATTAACATAGTGAATTAAGGGTTTGAAATGCACACAAATTAACATGATGAATTAAGTGTCTGAATTACAGTGAGTAGACAAATGATACATTAGTTGAATGGGCTTGCTACACCAGTTAATACTGCAAAAACAAACTCGGTTGCGTGCTTATAACATTTACATTACTAAATGTTTTTTGTTGACCTGATATTTCAGTTAATCTTTTATGATTTAGTATAAAAGCAACTATTTTTGGACGCTTGAGTAACCTCATGTATTTTGTCAGCAATCTTGTCATATAGCTCTCATGAGTTTTTAAAAACATCGATGATTATATCGGTCAGCTGTTCATTACCGATAGATTTTTGAGATGTCTGATACATACATACACACTTTATCTAGCTTCTTTAATCATATTTTCAACTGAACATTTTAAATTCTTCACCTAGGTTCACATGGTTTGCAAAATCCTTCAAATGTTGATGAAAACAGTAGGATCACTTTGCTACCTGATGACAATGATGATGTTTATTTAATTACTGGTTGTGAGACAGGATATATCAACTGTTGGAAACTTCAAAACAATGGAAAAAGTAGATCAGTTGGCGAAGCTCGCAACTTACATTGGGGTAGTGTAATAACTATATATTGCATTCCTGGAGGTGATGGTGCCAATGCAATAGTAACGTCTGGAACAGATAATTGTATAAAGGTAACCGCAGTGCTTTGGGTTATTTGCAAATCTCATGTTTTAAAACTAATCAATTACTTTTTTTGAAGCTTCATGTTTAAGTGCCTTCATTCCCAAAATTACTCAAGTTACATAAGTCTTCTCTCTTTATTAAGGCATTGGCCAATTACAAGAGATCTCCAAGCAACAATGTCTTGGAATCTCCTTTCCAAATTTCCTATACCCTTGACATCCGCCTCCAGTTTTCGACACCCTATGTCCCTCGATTCATCACTTTCCCGTTTGCCTGAGAATTTCAAGTTAGAACTTGCGTCGTGATTCAGTTCAATGGTTTCTACAGTGTCTTACCCACCTAACGCTTTTTCTTAATTTCCTTAACTGGAAGTCAGTTTCTTCACAGTCAGAGTATGTTATTGCTGATGGTCTCTAGACAATGGATCCGGAGTATCTTGCGTAGACACCTGTTTATAAACATTTGTACCTCATTATGGTGGTTGTGGTAGTTCTCCAAGTCTCAGCTCTTTACGATATAAAACTGCGTTGACGTTAGTGTTGAAAATTGTGACTTTAGTGTTGAGTGACAGTTGTTTTGAGTTCCAGATATTCTTCAGTTGTAGGAATGCTACCCTTGGTTTGTTGATTAGTGCTTTCACGTCCAAATCAGATCCTCCTTGTTTATCGATGTTGCTGTCTAAATAGTGTGGGTTTCTACTTCTTCCAGAGCTTCTCCATCAAGTGTGGTTTGGTTGGTGCTCACTGTTTTGCGTTTCATGATCTTTCTTCTTCTCTTGTGAATGTGTTATAGCTCAAAACCGCCAATCAGAAGCAGTGAATTATCAATCAGACCAAGGACGCGTAAAACACGTACGAGCAGTCTAGAATCCTGATTGGTCCTGCTTTCCACCTAGTCCAAAACATCAGTCTCAGCCTTGTCATATTTCAAACATACTGAGTTTGTATACCAATCAAACAGACCACAACGTAACATAAAATAGAAAATAACATTTGTACAAAATATGGTCAAATGTGGCTGTGAATGTGGGGGGCAGTGACTAGTAGACAGGGCATAATTCAAGAATGGTAAACGTATAATAATGGTTCATAGGTCAAAATAAGGCTTATAATAAGAGGAACATGAATATGAATAGTTTAGTTATTTAACAATTATACGATAAAAATATACGTTTAGTATTGGTCCATGAAAGGATCCCAAAGGTACCATTCATTATGTTTCTCGGGACCTAATAGAATGTTGAGGCCTATTTCTGTGGAAGCGGCTAGTACACTGGATATCTTCGTCTGCATTTGTTTTCGTGTATGCGATTGGGGGTCTGAGTCATCTCCAAAGCCCATATCGTCCAGTTGTGTCCACCGTATTCCATGTTCCTCCTTACGTATAGGGGTTCTCATTATCCAGTTGACAGATAGCAGTAAGAAAATGGACGAGAATATGGAGCCTTTTTTGACACCGATAGAATAGTATTTCCTGTATTAATTATCATTTCATTTGATTTGTGTGTGGGCTGATACTTCCTGGGTGCCCAGACTGGGCAAAGTTCATATCTAGGTAACTTTTAAGCTATGTAAGTACGCCTATAATTTCTGGTTCCCCCAAATGCCCTAGTACGGCCGAGAATGGGAAGCGTCCACTCTCCCTCTCGAAATGCTCTCACATGGTCACGCGTATATAGCCTCTGCCAGGGAAGTCCTACTCACTGCCTTCTCGTAGCGGGGTGTTGTTTACGAAATTGAGAGGACGAAAAGCGAATGAGCGGCACTTTAACCGGACTGGTGGACACGGAGAGTCCACCCAGGAGTTGGAAAACCCTAATTCCAAACCAATGTTACGCATGGGCTCCAGTACCCTGAGGGAACAAATCGCGTATGAACCAATCGTTGGTCGCCGAATATCATCGGACTGCATCTGATTACGTTGCTCCACTGCCTTGTGGGTCAAACCCCTGGGCCATAGGCTCCGGGTGTGACCCCCTAAGAGAACCACCTGCTTCAGTTCGGGCACCCGGTCAGTATCACAGCTCTCACACAAATCAACTGAGATATATGGCGCATATGTATTCGGTGCTTCCTTGTACCAATTTCTATATGTACGAACGAATAATAAATAAATAACTAATGTCTGGTCGGGTCTACAAAACGATTTTTGTTCGTGATCGGAGACTGTGATACGCGATGAGCTATATTTCATGTTTCTCACATTCTTATTAGCTTACGTAAACGACGTTTGTATGCATTGGAATTCGTTACAAATGGTTTGTTTAGACAGTGTTTCATACCCTGATGTATAATTTAGCTATAAATTTAACCAGTGTGAATTCGGCCAATTGAAACTTTTATATTCTTTCAATATCTATGCGATTGCACACAGAGATAGTGTATACACTGAATCATTGTTTCTACTTTAATGTCTTCTTTTCTACAGGTTTCTTATTTCGATCGATCCGACGGTAGTCCGCGTACAGTATATCGTCGAATAGGTCATTCGCGACCTCCGAATCGCATATTATTTTGGCCAGGATGTTCGGCGGGTGGTGGGTTGTTACTTAGCGCTGGAAAAGATGGTGTACTTCGGTATGTCTTTTTTCCCCAGTTATCCTCAATCATAATTACTCAAGGTAATATATAGTAGTTATTTTATTTATGTAAACAGTGACTCAGTTCTACCTTATTCCTTCATAAATCTAGCGTTACTTTCGCCTTGTTATTATTATACTAATTGCTACTTTGTTTATTCGTTAGTTAAATAAGCACATGCTTGCCAGGATGTACAATCATAGCGCCTTGAAAACAAAATTCCGGTCGATACCACGCTTGGATTCGGTAATAATGCATAGAATCACAAGTCATCAGGAATATGGGAGACGGTTTATATGGTAGGCTTTAGACGTATTTAAAGGTTATGAACAAAAGTGACTAAAAAGAAAAAATATGTTACTCATTGTTTTTGATCAAAGGCAGTTTATTGTGAACGTTCCGTCGAATGATGTTAGAAAGTTAGTAATCAGGTTTAAGCTCAGTCTTGTGGGTGTGTCGCTCAATTTCGTGGATTAGTTGAAGTTAGACATTAACACCGTCGGATGCCGGCTCAGTGGCTTATTGGTTAAGTGCTCACGCGCGAGAACAGTAGGTCCTGGGTTCGAATCCCGCGAAGCTGGATCGTGGATGCGCACTGCTGAGTCCCACAATAGGACGAGATGGCCGTCCAGTGCCTCCAGGTTTTCCATGGTGGTCTCACTTCAATTGACTCATGATCTCTACCATTGAAATCCGTGTTTTTATTGAGTTGTGTTTCATTTTATTTGAGAAGTGGAAGCAACAACAATTGTAATATCTTTTATCACAATAATGGTAGCTGTACAAGAGGTAATGATTGTTCTTGATTATTGAACAGTATATTTTCAACGTTCAATGAAAATATGAATAAAAGCCTCGGTTGCGCATATGCTCCTGGAGTTCCGGATCGCCGGAAAACTACTCGTCAACAGAGATCACCGTGGTTACTACCGGACGTGGTCCACATGGCTGCATGTTCTACACGTGCTGAGGCGTGGGATTGCGTGGTTGCAATTCATAGCGGGAAACGGCAAGTAACCAGCTGGAATTTCGCGAAAGCTACTCGAGGCCAACACTGGTTTGATCCACTAAAATTTCATGGATGCTATGGGGAAGCAAATCGGTTGTACAAGAACATAGTTGCTACGGTAAGTACCTCCTCTGTTCCAGTTCCATTAACTTTTTGGTTACTTTTGCTTCTTCACATAACTAGTAATCGCGTGAAGAAGTTACAAACCCAGAAACACTGTCCAGTTTTTAGTAATGTGTGTACTATAAGATAGTTTTTTCTATTAAGATTTTAAAGTCCTAAATTTTGCTTTTGAATGGGCAAAAGTTGTACGTCGGTATGTTATTTTTCATTTCCGTGATTACGATTCTTCCAATGTTTAAAGCTAATCGAAGATCAATTCATAAATTCATTAATTTGGTCAAAGCTAATCCGTCACATTTCCATATAATCTGCTATACCACATCTATGTTGTGGGTGAATATTACTTCAATGTTCATACTGTAGAAATAATATGCTTTCATTGGATAACAGAGTTGTTGATGGTTTGTGTATGCATGTGTTTAAAAGAACCACTTTATCGACTAGTTGAATAAACTATCCAGTTGAATTTTAGTCTATCTCCATGGGTACGTCTCACTTGAAAGACGTTCCGTTGTTCAAGTTAAATACTGCCATCAAATGAAAGTGTAATTAACTACTCCTTTTTATTTGATTCACAAGTCCAATACTCTTCATCTGGAGATTCTCTACCTTTCTGAGAGTTTAAAGTAATTTTACCTTCTTTTCAGTGTGCATACTTGACAAGTTGTGGTAACTATGCTCTCATTGGTTATTCAAATGGAGATGTCTTCAAGTTTAATATGCAGTCTGGTTTGGAGCGCGGTTCATATGGCTCACCTACCGGTTTGTTAATTATCATCTTGATATTTTGCTTCATATTAATTACTTTTGAAGAATGCTTACGTTGTTGTATCTCAGTAACGCTCTTCAAAATTCTTCATAACTCCGTAGTTTTGAGCTAATAACCCTCCTTCAATAGGAATCGAGAAATCTAAAACAGCTATCTCATTCTTATTGTTTAGGTGTATTTTACTATCAAATGTTTTCTCACTTTAATTGGTCAAAGTAATGTTTCAGATTCCCTGTTTTCTAACTCGAATTCAAATACAGGATGAAATAAAGCGAAGTCTAATATGTGTAATTATAAGGAGTTGATGCTGTTTCTTGTAGCATAATGAAAAGACTTAAATACTAAAATGAGAAGGAAACAATTTATCTATCAAAATATTGTTCTTAATTCCTAACAAGTATAAACATTCAGCCCAGCTTACGCTATTTTCAACAATTACTAACCAAACTGTTCAGATAGCTTTTTGCGTGTCAGCAATCCGAATATTTGTATCTTTTCAATGTCTCAATGTAGACTAGTGGTTTACCTCGACAAAAAGTAGTGAGAAGGGAAACATAGTATTTGTTTTGTATGTATAATATAATTTTTTTCCCTTTTTAAATTCAAGTTATTTATTTTGTACTTTATTTTTTCATCATCACTACTAGCACATTTCTGCTCTATTGTCGGATTAGCTGTCAATAATGTAAACCGAGTTACCATAACTGTTGGTGAGAGTGAAATTCGTTTCTGGTCTTTTCACGAGCACAAGTTACATGGACAACTTGACTTACCATCAACCTCTTTGTTGGTCAGATTTCATGCTGATAGGTAATTAGTAACCATACAACAAATATTTTAATGTTTTCTGAATAGCTTGGTTAATATTCCCATCTCTAAGTTGGTGTAAAATATGAGTTCCTAGGCTCCTTAAAGTGAAATCATGTGGTTCACTTATTTAACTAATTAATTATTTTGTGGAGATTGTAGTAATTCCAACAGTTGAGATCATGAGTCAATTGAAGCTATACCACCATGGAAAACCTGGAAGCACTGCACGGCCGTTTCGTCCTATTGTGGGACTCAGCAGCAATAGGACGAAACGGCCTTCCAGTGCTTCCAGGTTTTCCATGGTGGTATAGCTTCAATTGACTCATGATCTCAACTGTTGAAATTAATTAATTATTTATTTTAACACATAGATATTAGTACAAGGAAGCACCGAATACATATGCACCACACAAATCCCATTCGATATGTGTGAGGGCTGTGATACTGTCCGGGTGCCCAAACTGAAGCAGATGGTTTTCTTAGTGGGCCACTCCTCGAGCCTTCGACCTGAAGGTCTGATCCACAAGGCAGTGGAGCATCGTAAGGAGATGCAGTCCCATGGAAGCCAATGACCAACAATTGGTTCATACGCGATTTGTTCCCGCATGATACTGGAGCCCATGTGCACCATTGATTTGGTTTGGGATTCTGTTAAAGCACCGGACATTCGCTTTTCGTCCTCTCAATTTCGTAAACAACACTCCCGCTACGAGAAGGCAGTGAGTAGGACTTCCCTGGAAAAGGCTATATACGCGTGGCCATGTGAGAGCACTTCGAGAGGGAGAGCGGATTCAACACACTCTCGGCCATACCAGGGCATTTGGGGGCTCTTATTTAATCACTCGCCTTCATCGATAGTGATTAGTTTTGGAGCCCAAGATGCACGTTTCTTCCCATCTGGGAATCAGTCGAATGTACCTGTATCCTCTTCTCTGTCATTACCTCACTGTCAAGGGTAATAAATTCGTACTCTCACCTGTCTGGTTATACTAAACAATGAGCGCATGATTTGATTCACAACTTTGAGAGTCCTCAAAGTGCTTTCATACTTTAACTGAAAACTCCACTAGTTTTCGTTGGCTTGTTCAACGTGTGGCTTGTATGGGATGATCTGCCTCTCTTGTGTTATGAACTCAGCTAAATATCATGGGTGAAGCAGTTTTCGGATTGTAGAGATGACATCCAATATGGCACCGCTCAATCAACTGGATCTATATTCTAGATGGTCAGGCTGATGATGATAGCTGTGATTGAATTAAAATTGAACCGAATTGAAAAGTACTTCATTAAAATAGGAAGTTTTGTGGATTTCAGATCCTCAACACAATATTTCAGAAAGAGATGAAATGTAAGATTGAGTATCCAAATGATGTAATTTTTGTTCAGTTTATCATTCACTTGTAATGAGTAATGCAGTGTGACTTTTCGTTCATTCATAAGCCACTCCACGAAATAGATTAGAAGAAAACTAGGGGCTGCCAAATCAATACGTATCATCAGTCTATCAAGCCATTGTCCCTTAACCTGGCTTGATAGTTTTAAGCAACTCAGTTGGGGTTCATGCGATAACCACGGCTAGCGACTGGAAATACTGTGTGACATGGCTCAGAACCACTCTTAAAGGTGTGGTTCCATTCGTTTGTCATTATGAGCTCCAACATTGCTTGCTTTTTATTGATCGAATCGATCTTTTTCGCACTATATTCTGTATGTTTAGTTTACCTCCATTACTGATATTTATTTGCTATAGGTTATGTCAGCTTTGTCTTTCCATGATGATGTTGTTTGGTAACTTTGAATAGGACATATTTGTGTTAATAATGAATAACACACTTTACTTCAGCATTACCCACTGGGCTGTTTCATCCCACACGAGCAAGTTTCCGTAGTCATCCTTGATGAAATGCTAGTAACGTGCACATTTCCGTCCCCTTCGGAGTACATATTCCACAGCTTCAAAGTTAAACATGTGCTGTTGTTCAATACACTCGGTGTTTGATAAGGAGATGGACACCTAGTCTATACCAGTGACCCAATGTTATTAAAAGGCGAATGATGTTTTTGTTACTTTATCAAAATTTCATTAGTCACAAGCTTATCAGCGTGAGTATGATTACAGCAACGGGTGAAGTGCTTAACACGATTGATGCATACAGAAAGCGACCAGAAATTTTTTGCATTTAGCCTCATCTGCTCACCCAAGGGTGAGGGGAAGTAAAATTCATCATTCAACTAACCCTGCATTGCCATTTCCTACCTAATCACCCAAAATGAACTGCTAATTCACTTTTAAGTTCGTAAACTCCGAAATCATAGGCAATCATTCCTACTCTTTAATAACGAACTAACCTTGTAGTGAAAAAGAATACCAGTGGGGACAATCGAATGTATTTAACACAAAATTACATGACTTGTTAATAAAATCTAACAATTATAAAGTAAATGCTTAATTTGCAAAATGTCCACCAATTGTCTCAAAATGACTCAGACTACATTGTTCTTGCATTTTCATACAATTGCATCCTGTTTCCATTCTTTACTGTTCGATCCTCTTGTCTCTGCTCCCAGACCTGTTCACGACTAACATCATATACTACTTATGTCAATATAAGTAGCACACACCACAACCTATTTTGTGTCTCTAGCCGTAGACTGTCAGTTTTTATACCTGATATGCTGCTGTATAGAAGCATTTCAATTAAGATTTTAGAAAGTTTCAGATTTTTCTATTAAATATATTTGTTCTGTTAATAGTGATGTTCTAGCTGTCGCTTTGTCGAATGCGGCTATCACTTTGGTTGACATTGTACATCGAAAGGTTATTCGAACGTTCATCAATTCAGAAGTCCAACTTTGTGTTGATATGGTAAACGAGAGTTACTTCATTTTTATTCTGTATGATATTCTTAAATCGTAAATTTAAACAGAGATACTCACTGAAAGACAGTAATCACTAAAATTAATCAGTCAATGTTCTTGATCCATCTCTTTCCATTACATTTGTTAATTCCTTATCAAAACTTCAACCGCACGGTCGAGTGACGCGTCAAATTCGGCAAACCAAAACGCAAGATTATCTATAACAGCACTATTGCTACGAAATTATGTGAAATACGTGGTAAACCTCAACCCATGAGGTGACTACGGTGTGTACCGAGTTCGTGTGCAATCAGAAGGAAGTGCCTCCTAATAATAGATTTATAGAGCTATTTATAACAACCTAGGATATGTGTCGAAGTCGCTATGGCAAAATAAGAACAAAGAACACTAGAATATGGGAACTGTTACAATTAGACAAACATTCATCAAATATAATAGAATTGAAAAAAATATATTGCAAGCAACAAGAGAATGCGATCATCATAATAATAAGTACATTGAGTTCCGTCAGCTTATATAAATACTTATGAATATTATATAACAGATATACATTACTTCATATGCTCTGAGGTTATGAAAAATGAAACGGGTCACTGAATATAAATAGATAGTATAGAACAAGACACAAAGTGTAGTGGAATAAGAAGGTAATTAGGATAAAGAATGTATGCGAGCTTAACGGTTTTGAGGTATTCATGTACTAATCGCTGTATTAAAATTAGTATGACGCGAACTATAAATACTGATGTACTGAGTAAAAATGAACACTTCCAAAAACTCAGAACATATTTGACTTAATTATCAACTGACAAGGAGTGTAGAAAGAAAAAAATTTTTGGTTACTTTTATATCACGTTTATGTGATTGATTGAACGCCATTGGGCATAACACACAAACTGTCTTCCCATTAGTCAATCACGGTTTGGTTGGTTCGGTCACATCAGGGACATATTCTGCTCAAAACTATGTGGTGGTTTGATGTATCAGCCCAATCTCAGTAACTAATTATCTCTCAAGATGGATAATAGGATGTGAATGACGTAAGATATGCCTGAATCCGTCAAATTTAGTGTTTTTAGTTGTCGATTTTGAAATTATTACTTTTAGATTAAATTATCCGGCCTTCATTTATGGAGTTTAAGGTTTGAAATGATGGAAAACATATATAACTAAGGTGCATACTTTTGGTAGTGTTACGTTTTCTGAGTTTAATATTCTGATTGCAAAGCTGTTGTTCTGGACAACATCATCGTCCACCTGTAGTAGAAGTTTCTTGTTTAAAGTGATCTCTACTTCGATTTGGGCGACTGGGTATCAGTATGATCCTTCACATTTAAAGTGTCAACCCCAAGATGAACTCATAAACCTATGCCACTAAGTAATTGGTAATCAAATCATTGTTATTGGTATTTATCAGCATTGCAAACCTACGAAGTTACAACGTATATTCATCCTGAGATTCAAATGAATTATGTTTATAAATGAAGGATAACTTGTTTATTATCTGAATAATTTTTGATGGAGGACAAACTTTATTTATTTTTGGTAAGCATTATCAAGTGATTTCACTTTTTCTGGTAATAAGACACTAGTCAGTTCCATATTTTACTACGAACACATGTAACTTTTTTGTCTTACGCTTCATTCTCATTGTCGCTTAATAGTGTCCCTCCTATTTAACTGTAGGACATTTCATTTGACGGCCGATGGTTAGTTTCTGCCCATCACGGAGATCCCTTGGTGAAAACATGGGATATAGTAGATAGTAAGTAAGTAAAATTCATATATCTTATTTTTGATTGAGATGATGAATCGATTGATGTTAGACCACCATTGAAAACCTGGAAACACTGGATGGCCGTTTTGTCCTATTATCAGACTCCTCAGCACGCGTATCCATGACTTCACTCGCCAGATTCGAGCACAGGACATCCTGTCTCGCGCGCGAACACCTAACCTCTAGACCACTGAGCCGGCATCCAACGGTGTTAATGTCTAACTTTAACCAATCCACGAAATTTGGCGACCTTCTTCCATTGTACTGAGGTAGATGACTATCTCTACCTGACACGAGTTATCTCCACTGGTCACATCTCCTTATTAGTACTCCGAGGCTTAGTTAGCGCATTATAATTATCAGTATGGGGTTGTGGAGATTATTAAATTAATTCAGAGTTCACTATAATATGGCTTACTGTTAGTGCATACTGTTGTGCCTTTATGGCCCGCTAGTTATCACGTAATTTATTCGCCAATCGAAATAAGATTTATTCACCCCTGTACTGTACTAAACCAATGACGTTCGGTCCATTGCTCGCCTAGCCCGTCCATCTGAGTCCGGAATGCCAACAACAGCCTCCGCTATGCAAATCATTTATTTCAGACGTACTGGGTTTATATACCAACCAAACAGACCGCAACGCACTATAAAATAAGAAATAACATTCATACACAATGAAGCCAAAAAGTGGCTGTGAAGGTGGGAGACAGTAATTAATAAACTGAGTATGATTTAAGAATAGTAAATCGTATAATAATAAATTATAGGTCAAAATGAAGCTTATAATAAGAGGAATATAAATATACATAATCTAATTACTGAATAGTTATTACCATAGATAATATTAGTTCATTAATAAGTCTCAGAAGTTACAATGTAATATTCACTAGGATACAACAGATAAAAAAAATTGACTAGAGTAATGAAATAATGTACCAGCTTTGTAAATTTGTATGTTCGTGATTTTAATATTACTAAAGTTCCATCTATAGATATATTACTCAGCGTTATCAGCAACCAGTTTCTCACATCAACGACTAAACCTTTATTTTCTTGTACAACTCAAACTTTTTATTTGTTAAATAATTAATAAAGAAACCCAGAAAACGCCTCTAAGAAAGCCTATAGGGACGCTAAAAACTCGGGGAAATATTTCACCCAATCATTATTGAGTGAAATTTTCTCAGAGATATCTAGAACGTGAGTAGTCACGTGTCACACTTTTGAGGGGATTATTAACTATCCTGCCGTTATGTTTAGTAAGGTTCCGGAACCTCCCAAAATCTCAAAGCCACCTGAAGTGCTATAAATACCCTCAGTTTTCTGTGCATGAACAGACCTTGGAGTAAAGCGTTTTTTCATATTTCGCGCCTTTGCTCTCGTGTTCAAGTTGCCGTGTAGAGTTAGCCTGGATTTGTTAGAAGAGCTTCTCCAACCAATTCAATCGATCGGTCTGAAGATTTATCAGTAATGACAAAGAAAACTGCAGTAAACATTTCTTTTAAATAACTAGAAGCCTAATTATAGCGTCAAGAGAAGCGGTTTGAACAGTCTCAAATCAGAATCATGGAAGCCCCTGCTAGTTTCTTCGTTGTATCATATTTAATTCACTTGCAGCTTTTTCTGCCGTCGTTGTTAGTCTTCTTGACTGGTCTTCCCGGTCTCTCACATTGTCCGGACGTTCCATGTACCTTTAAAAATTGTTGCTTTGGTTATTATAGTGGGCATCGGCCTCGTGAGTTCTGAATAATCTCGGCTATGATTGAGAGACGTCATAATTCTTCCTTTAACTCCCAGGGCAGAGTTTAAATGGTTTTGATTTGTTCAATCTGCTTAGCGTTTTTTAGCAAGGTTGTTTTCTACGAGATGGGGTTGCCGACCCCACGCCGAAACCTTCCACTTTACCCGAGCTTGGGAGCGGCAGTAACTCTAGAAGTCAGTCAGTAACAACGGAGAACTTCGTACGTACGTACATCAGTTCGAGTTGCCATACCACATCAGCACACAGATACAATTGTCGATTCAAATCCCATAGTCGTAGAGGTAGTAAAAGTATAGGCAGTAATCGGGAAGATTAGGGTTTGAAGATATCATTCAAGGAGTATAATCTAGTGAAGAAAATTTGGAAAGAGGAAAAACAAGGGACATGAGGAATTCAGAAGATTAGAATTTGGGAGAACACAAAGAGTTGATGCACTTGCGCCATTGCAAACGATTTTGAGCTATATCATTCAAGGTCTCTAACCATCGGTTGCTATCATCTCGCAGTCCCCAATCAGGTAGTCTACACCTACCAACGTGGCTCAGTCCACTTGTCAGTGACTTGATGAACTTGTGCCATGTTTTGGTCTGGCCGCCCCTAGCTTTCTTCCAACATACTCTTATACCATTGAACATCGCACGTCGGGGCAGTCGGTGGTTTGGCATACGTAACACTTGTTTCAGCCATCTCAAGTGATGAAGTTTCACTATTTCATCAATTGATTTGCCATCTTTACCTATTACCCGTTTTCTAACAACCGCGTTACTTATTCGATGGTTCTTGGATTGAGAATGTATAACATGTCCATCTTTCTCTGAGATTGTTTCGCTAACAGTCAGGTTCCTAATACCGGTTTCCTTAACAAGTCTTAACAAATTTCTGCTATTACCTATTGCCGCTCCCTTTTTCATCTCTCTTGCTTTCGCTAGCCACCACTGTTCACGATCATTGCGTTGGCTACTTGTCAGCTTATGCTTAAGCTGACTCCGCTCTTCGTTATGTTCAGAGCCAGATGGAACGAGTTTTCGAGCATCTGTCAGTGAGATAGATGCTTTTGAGATCCAGTGTTTCTCCCTAACCTTGTGGTTTACCTTACTAGCAGATATCACTGCCGTTTCCACGGCTTTTCGGATATCATCCCATGCTGCCTCATGGTAGGCATCACATACATGGCTGCCTAACTGTTTTTCTAGTTGTTCCTGAAATATACTCTTAGCTTGACTATCATTAAGTAGGGCCATAAGAGGTTTCCATGCAGCGTCTTTCCTACGTCCAGTAAGACGCAGGCAAATACGCGCTCGCACTAGAGCATGATCTGAATCTAAGCATGTGCTCCAGAATGAGCGACAGTCTTCTATCGAGCCCCTCCATCGGTGGCTGATGGCGATGTGATCTATTTGGGTCCAACGTTGGGACGAATTAGGGGGTCTCCATGGTAAAAGATGTTTTTCCTTATGCTTAAAATTAGTATTTGCAAGGTACAGGCGATTATCTGAGCATAGCTGCAACAGACGGTTGCCATTATCTGTTCTTTGAGCCACGACACCATAAGATCCACCTAGGTGTCTTTCCCTATCACTTAGTTTACCTACTTGAGCATTAATGTCACCGGCCACTATTACTACATCATAGCGCCTAGCTTTTCGGAGAAGGTCGGAAAGCTTTCTGTAAATCTCATCTTTTACATCATCTGGGCTGCAGTCAGTGGGAGAATAGACAAAGACGACGAAGAGACAACGACGAGTGTCCCTATTTTTCTGAGTTTTTACTGTTCCGTTTAGTCAGACAGCGCACAAACGACTGTCTACTGGAATTCAGTTCTGCCCTAGGAATCAATGCTATACCTACACCGGCAAAGCCACGAGAAGCAGCACCAAGGCTTCCAGATACACGAAGTGTGAATCGAGTTAATTCTTTATTTTGACATGGTAAGGTCAAATGACTGACGCTACTCGGATATTGTATGGGCGTTTCGGAAACGTTAGCACACGTCGACGGCGCGAGATTCTGAAGTCTTGGCTAAGGAAGCCTGTTGTCCTATTTGGCACAGTGTTCGGACGTTAAGAACTCCTACGTGTAGTTTAGAAAGTGGTTTCAAGAGACCAGGAATAACTTTCCGCCTACTCGGGTCGTTTGTCCTAGCGGTGCGAGGTGATAAAAGGACATGAGAAGGGTTAGTCGTGGAGATAAGAGAGTTATTAGGCGGTGTAAGAAGGATTTGAATGTGACCAACTTGGTTTCGTGTGCTGTTACGGGTATAAAGGCTGATGCCACTTCCCGGATGCCCACACCATTGAAGGGTATTTCTTGAGGAACCTGAAAAGGAAGTTGGATTAGTGTTGGCCTTAATGACCCGGGAGCGTGACCGCAGAGCCCAAGAGACAACTGCTTGAGGCCGATCGCACACGACATTTTCATGGGAGGTTTTTAATGTGTTAGCTCCGTTCTTCAAAGGGCCCTACCGCCGGAGACGGAAATCCGTGTGGTAAGGTGAGGTGTGACATTTTTAGGGTCAACATTTTCTAATCCTTTCCTTTCTTGTGAGAAGGCAGCATCGCTGGACATGCTGGTCAAATGACTGACGCTACTCGGATATTGTATGGGCGTTTCGGAAACGTAGCACACGTCGACGGCGCGAGATTCTGAAGTCTTGGCTAAGGAAGCCTGTTGTCCTATTTGGCACAGTGTTCGGACGTTAAGAACTCCTACGTGTAGTTTAGAAAGTGGTTTCAAGAGACCAGGAATAACTTTCCGCCTACTCGGGTCGTTTGTCCTAGCGGTGCGAGGTGATAAAAGGACATGAGAAGGGTTAGTCGTGGAGATAAGAGAGTTATTAGGCGGTGTAAGAAGGATTTGAATGTGACCAACTTGGTTTCGTGTGCTGTTACGGGTATAAAGGCTGATGCCACTTCCCGGATGCCCACACCATTGAAGGGTATTTCTTGAGGAACCTGAAAAGGAAGTTGGATTAGTGTTGGCCTTAATGACCTGGGAGCGTGACCGCAGAGCCCAAGAGACAACTGCTTGAGGCCGATCGCACACGACATTTTCATGGGAGGTTTTTAATGTGTTAGCTCCGTTCTTCAAAGGGCCCTACCGCCGGAGACGGAAATCCGTGTGGTAAGGTGAGGTGTGACATTTTTAGGGTCAACATTTTCTAATCCTTTCCTTCCTTGTGAGAAGGCAGCATCGCTGGACATGCTGGTTGTCCGAGGGAAACAACTTACTGCCGTCACACCTCTCTACAGTCAGCAGTACGAGACCAAGTTGGTCACATTCAAATCCTTCCTACACCTCCTAATACCTCTCTTATCTCCATGACTAACCCTCCTCATGTCTCTTTATCACATCGCACCGCTAGGGCAAACGATTCGAGTACGTGGAACGCTATTCCTGGTCTCATGAAACCACGCTCTAAACTACACGTAGGAGCTTTTAACGTCCGAACACTGCCAAATAGGACAACAGGCTTCCTTAGCTATTACTTTAGAATCTCGCGCCATCGATGTGTGCTGCGTCTCCGAGACGCGCATACAAGATCCGAGTAGCGTCATTCATTTGACTTTACCATGCCAAAATGAAGAACCGACTCGATATACGCTTCGTGTATCTGGAAGCCCTGATTCTGCTTCCCGTGGCTTTGCCGGTGTAGGTATAGCATTGAATCCTAGGGCAGAATTAGCTCTCTTAGAGTGGATCCCAGTAGACAGTCGTTTGTGCGCTGTCCGACTGAACGGAACAGTAAGAATCCGGAAAGATAGGGACACCCGTCGTTGCCTCTTCGTCGTTTCTGCCTATTCTCCCACTGACTGCAGCCCAGATGATGTAAAAGATGAGATTTACAGAAAGCTTTCCGACCTTCTCCGAAAAGCTAGGCGCTATGATGTAGTAATAGTGGCCGGTGACATTAATGCTCAAGTAGGTAAACTAAGTGATAGGGAAAGACACCTAGGTGGATCTTATGGTGTCGTGGCTCAAAGAACAGATAATGGCAACCGTCTGTTGCAGCTATGCTCAGATAATCGCCTGTACCTTGCAAATACTAATTTTAAGCATAAGGAAAAACATCTTTTACCATGGAGACCCCCTAATTCGTCCCAACGTTGGACCCAAATAGATCACATCGCCATCAGCCACCGATGGAGGGGCTCGATAGAAGACTGTCGCTCATTCTGGAGCACATGCTTAGATTCAGATCATGCTCTAGTGCGAGCGCGTATTTACCTGCGTCTTACTGGACGTAGGAAAGACGCTGCAAGGAAACCTCTTATGGCCCTACTTAATGATAGTCAAGCTAAGAGTATATTTCAGGCTCCACTGCTCGAATGGAACAATGGAGAGAGGTGGTTGTATGCCCTCACTCTGCCTGAGGTGTTTGTATATAGGGCTTTTAGGATGTTAATAAACTTCCCAGGCACACCCCTCTTCAATAGACAATCCCAGAGAACAGTCTTATCCAACGAATCGAAAGCATCCCTGATGTCAAGAAACACTACGATTGTTAGCCTTTGATAAGTATGACGGTGTTCTAACATTTGGTGGAGGATGAGGATATGATCAATACATCCTCGACCGGAATAAAAGCCAGCCTGCTCCTCGCGAGTCAATCTTTCTCGGGTTTTGAACAACCTGCGAAGTATGATGGAAGCCAATAGCTTGGACACGGTCGGAAGTAGACTTATCCCCCGATAGTTGTTACAGGAACGACGTGAACCCTTTTTAAAGATAGGGACAACTATCGACTCATTCCATGACGTTGGTACACTCTCTAGCTCCCAGGCCTTTGTAAACAACGTCGTCAGTCCCGTAGTCATAAAGTCACCACCATCTTTGAAAGAGCCAGAGGTAAGTCATCTGGGCCAGGTGATTTGTAGCGCTTCAAGAGTTGGAGTTCCGTGTAGACTTCCGCCTCATTTGGTGGGTCAGTCGTCACCGGCCATGGAGGACAGGACAGTCTGACCGATGTTGCTGGAGCAGCAGGCCAGTTGAACTGCTCTTCGAAAAATTATGTCCATCGTCCATGACGTCGATGGATGTTAGTGATTGGCATCCCGTCATTCTCGTAGATTGTTTCGCTCACACCAGACTTCTTGCTGCCATTGGCTCGGATGAGTTGGAAGAGCTTCCGGTAATTACTAGATGTAGCTGCCGCTTCCAACTCATTAGCACGCTCTGACCACCAGGCTTCTCGGTCCTTACGCATGCTTTGCCCAATTTCATTATGTAACATCCTTCGTTTATGGTCAAACTCACAGTCACACGGATTAGGCCGACAGGTTTCAATGAGTTGTAAGGGAGCAGACGAAACCCCGTGCTTTTAAGCGGGACTTTTCGCGAACCCACAACTGACTGTACCCGTCATTGCGGGTACCTTCAGACTCTCATAAATGTGGGAACTGTGTTTCTCCCAAAATCAATCAGTATGATGCCCTTCTTCAGTCAGGCACTTCCTCTGATATAACACTTCTAAGCTGAAGAACGTGAGAAGAAATTGGGAGACCGCGAATTTATTCAACTCATCAATCAGCACATAGTGCATCCTAGGGAATGCTGAAGATTGCTGGCGAGATACACCGCGAAGTCACAGATGAAGAAATGATGGAGAAGGGTGTATTTTATTTTTGACAGGATTTCCACCTATAAACTTACTGGGACTTGACTGGATAGAAAGGCTAAAGTTAACAGACTGTCCCATTAACTCGACCTGTAACAACTTCAGTACGACGAAAGTGGAGGGAAAAAAATCAGGAAGCGTTATTAAAATGAAATAAAATGGTATTTGGTAAGTAGCTTGGAGAATGTATTAAATTTAAGGCTGTTCTTACCTTTCGACAGGGATCGAAGCCAATGTTTCGGACTAAAAGTCCTGTGCCATATGCTGCCTTTATTTACATTAAATATATTATCTTATCTTGAGCTTAAATGTGTTCTTTAGAAGTACAGAATTTCATATTGGTGATTGTTACGATACGATGAGTCATTGTCGACAATATTGTGACTTCCACGTAAGGTGTTGTTGAATAGGCAGCCACATCATGACATATCTTCAATTTTAGTATTAGGCCTATTATTATAATAGTACTAATAACTATGTAGACCATAATTCTACACCCATACCTGAAGATCTTTTCGCTCAGCTGAATGGAGGTGTTATAATTCTCTCTTATTACAATCCAGCTATTCCTATTGCCTAGTATTCTTGGACACTAATTCATTCGACAAGTCTTCAAATCAGAACCCGGTTGGACGGAAATAACAAGGTTAGATGGAAGTAAAAAGCTCAATAAGAAAAACGTTAGTATATTTAGTTTTTTTTCATGTGAGGATTCTAGAGTGTTCTCCACGTGCCGGCTAGCGCTGATTGGGTAAGAATTAGCCAATCAGTGTGCACCAACGCAATCATGCATTGAGCATGCTTTAATCCTATCTATGTCCCGCCGACAGGAGGTAAGTTCTTTGCAAAGTTGGATTTGTTGGAAGCATGTTTACAAATTCCTGTTGCTGATGAGTGCAAAGATCTGCTCACCATAAACACACACAAGGGCCTATTTCGATATAATTGACTACTTTTCGTATTCAAAACAGCCCCATCCATATTTCAGCAGGTAATTGATACTGTACTACAGGATGTTCCAGGTGCTGCAGCTTATCTGAATGACATACTAATCATAGAAGTGGAACAACAAGTAACTGAATTATGGGTTAACAGAACAAGCAGCTAATCAATTACGGAGAAATGCTAATCACTCATGACTTATTAAAGTGTTTGTTGACGACGTGATCGATAAGACACTGGAATTTTCACAATTAAACCAAATAACTCAGAAAACAAAGCGCCCGCAAAACCCTCATCCTCAGCTACGAATATCCCCCAACATCTCGAAAATTTCAGTTGTTTATTCTAGCTTTATCTTGGTTTTATATCTAACTGCTTACTGTAACTACTTTACTATTTCTCAGACTGATAGACTGCTTTCGTGTAGAAATTCCTATCACTTCAATCGCTTTATCCAGAGCAAATGAATTCCTATGTACAACTCATGCAAACTGTCTTGGTATCTATCTTTGGGATAACCGTACAACTTACAAACATTTACACCTCCAGCCTTTACCTATTGATTTTGTTCCATCTGAAAATCAGTCTCCAGTATCATTACCAACTAGGTAAGTTGTTTTTCAATCCAGAAATAAATGTATATACAGATTAATCATCTACGTACTCTTAGTTCTGCTTAATTGTAGTTACAAAGAGTATGATGTCTCTAAAACAGCTCTGCAAATTAAGTAAAATACTTGTTAAATAAGCATGTAGGGGAACTCATCATAAAAAGTGCCGATATTTTCCTCTAACAATAATCTTTTAAGTTATTAATCTAGGTAATGTTTAAAATTTTGTTGAGCATTCATTTGTAAAAATGCCTTAATTTTGTGTTCGAAAATATCTCAGTGAGTCGTAGAATTCACTCAAATACCTAACCATAGTAAACTATTAGGAAAGATATTTAAAGAGACATACACAACTGACGTCATCTTGACTCTCGATCTCTATAAAGGTTTCGTTTTGATCAAAGATTTTCGAATATGTTGACCAATAAATAACTTGATAATGACACGAGTGGTTTTTAATATGCGTGCATTTCGATTTCAGAGTATACCAAGACTATCCATCAATAGTACTGTGCCTCTTTTTTCGCTGTAATTTTGTTACTGCAAGATTTTGGCACAAATCCAGAAAGTTCGGCTGACTTGCTAACTTGCGTCACTTGTGCAGTAAGTAAAGCATTCGTCTATCAACTAAAGAACGGCTTTACCGAGCAGCAGTTCTCTGTCCTATGTTATGACTGTTAAACGTGACGTTCAAAGACGGAGGATATTCATGGGTTACTACTATTCGGTCACAGTTGTCTTAGAATCATTGTTCGTGCATTTCGGGACCATCGAATTAGCAATACTGAAGTTAGGCACACAGTAATAGGTAAGCATGGCAAGTTGGTTGATGAAATAGTGAATCATTATCAACCGGGGTGGTTGGGACGTGTCACGTATGCCTATCCACTGACTACCTGGAGGCGCGACGATGACAGGTGCAATAGGTTGGAAGCTAGACGCAACGAAGCTAATATATGGTATCGACCCATGAAGACACTATTAGACTAAGCCATGTGTGTAGGTGTAGACTACCTGGTTTGGAGTCCTTGTGATTGTCGTAACCAACGCTTGGAGACTGGATGGTATGGTTCAGAATCGTTTGCAATAGTGTAGGTATATTCTTTGTCTTCGTTTAGATTCTAAGTTTCTAAATGCCATATTAATACTTTCCACTTTACTAGTCCATATTTTCTTTTTGAATCATATTTTCAATGTCTAATTTTTTCATTACAAGTAGTTCTAATCCATCTGTATTTCTGTGAGATTTGTCCAGATAATTCGATTTCTCTGTGCGCACAAGAGTGCGCCAAATATATATGCGCCACACAAAACAATGAGAATTTAAAGAGAAGGAAAAAGAAAAAAGGTAAGGAGCGTAAAAAAGAGAACAACAACGAAGAGATTGGTGTAAGGTAGTGTAATAATAATAATGGTGATAATGGGGGAACGGAAAGTTACAATCAGAAGAAATCTTCCAGTCAAGGAAGCAACAACCATTTTTTAATGAAGAATGTAAAAGAAGGTTACAATAGGATCGCCACTGGTTTCTATTCTGAGCCATATCGGATAACGTCTCTAGCCACTGTGTAGCACCATCTCTCGGACCCCAGCCGTGAAGGACCAACACAAGCCAGTCCTTTGCAGCTTTCTTCCATACTACGACACCATGTCATACACTGACCACCTCTCCGCTTTTTCCAACCAGCCCCAGCGTCGGCAAATAATGCTCGACGTGGAATTCTCTGGGACGACATTCGTAGAACATGTCCAAGCCGGTGAAGTCGGTGTTTTAAGATGGTGACACCAATCGGATTATCGTATCTGCGTCAGAACACACGATGCCCAACCTCTGCATTACTAACATGGTGTTGCCACTGGAAGTCAGCAGCCCTTCGGAGACAACGATGATCAAACACAGAAAGTCGTCTAACATCCCCAACTCGGAGAGGCCAGGTTTCACAAGCATAGAGCAAAACTGCTCTCACCGACGTGTTGTAGATCCGACGTTTTACAGACAGACTAACATCACGAAGGCGCCTAAGATGGCCCAGATTGTCATAAGCCGCTCTGGCTTTCACTATACGTGTATTGATCTCATCATTCACGCCACCACCAGTACTTATGCAGCTACCCAGATACACGAACTTCTCGACTACTTCTATCTGCTCACCATCCAGGGTGAGTACAGGATTAGAATCCTGTCAGTTTTGTAGAAGTACATTGCACTTCGAAGATGAAAAGCACATTACATACTTACGGACATTGATTGCCAACTGATTAAGTGCGGATTGCTGGGCTTGGGCATTATCGCACAGTAAGACAATATCATCCGCATACTCAAGGTCGAGAATTCTTTTTCCAGGCAACAGATCCACACCACAATTATTTACATCCGTCAGAGCTGTTTCCGGAATGTCATCGATGACAAAGTTGGAGAGGAATGGTGAGATTGAGCAACCCTGTCCAACTCCACTGCTCGAATGGAACAATGGAGAGAGGTGGTTGTATGCCCTCACTCTGCCTGAGGTGTTTGTATATAGGGCTTTTAGGATGTTAATAAACTTCCCAGGCACACCCCTCTTCAATAGACAATCCCAGAGAACAGTCTTATCCAACGAATCGAAAGCATCCCTGATGTCAAGAAACACTACGATTGTTAGCCTTTGATAAGTATGACGGTGTTCTAACATTTGGTGGAGGATGAGGATATGATCAATACATCCTCGACCGGAATAAAAGCCAGCCTGCTCCTCGCGAGTCAATCTTTCTCGGGTTTTGAACAACCTGCGAAGTATGATGGAAGCCAATAGCTTGGACACGGTCGGAAGTAGACTTATCCCCCGATAGTTGTTACAGGAACGACGTGAACCCTTTTTAAAGATAGGGACAACTATCGACTCATTCCATGACGTTGGTACACTCTCTAGCTCCCAGGCCTTTGTAAACAACGTCGTCAGTCCCGTAGTCATAAAGTCACCACCATCTTTGAAAGAGCCAGAGGTAAGTCATCTGGGCCAGGTGATTTGTAGCGCTTCAAGAGTTGGAGTTCCGTGTAGACTTCCGCCTCATTTGGTGGGTCAGTCGTCACCGGCCATGGAGGACAGGACAGTCTGACCGATGTTGCTGGAGCAGCAGGCCAGTTGAACTGCTCTTCGAAAAATTATGTCCATCGTCCATGACGTCGATGGATGTTAGTGATTGGCATCCCGTCATTCTCGTAGATTGTTTCGCTCACACCAGACTTCTTGCTGCCATTGGCTCGGATGAGTTGGAAGAGCTTCCGGTAATTACTAGATGTAGCTGCCGCTTCCAACTCATTAGCACACTCTGACCACCAGGCTTCTCGGTCATTTTATGGCGTCATGCAGTTGCAACCAATGCTCATTTATACTTTTCGTTGGAATGGTAGCTAGCGTCGAAGTTAGCTTGGTTCGATACTTACTTGTAACAGAAGTTGCAACCAGCTTGGCGGTCACTTCGTTGGCCACCGAAATGTAAAGTTAGATTGGCGCAGACCGAGGCATGGTCAGAGTGCAGATAGGTATTCCAAAAGGAGCGGGTGTCTTGTACGCAACCACGCCAGCGGTAACTGATCGCGATGTGATCAATCTGAGTTCAGGCTTGAGTTGCAGAAGGAGGATGCCATGTGGCACAATGGCGATGACTGTGCCGAAAGTTAGTGCTAGCCAGAAACAGGTTGCGGTCTGTTCACAGTTGAAATAGACGGTCCTTGTTATCTGTCCTGAAACCAACAATTCCCCATCGGTCACCTAAACGACTCTCTTCTGTGGATAGACGCCCGATTTGAGCGTTGAGTTCTCCGGCTAGTACTACAATATCTGTCGAACGCACTTTCTGGAGAAGAACAGATAACTGGTGGTAAAACACATTCTAGATTGAATCCGGGTTGCAATCTGTCGGAGCATAGGTGGAGATGACGAAAAGACATCGTTTCACAGGCCAATTTCTTCTCACTTTGCTGGAACTCTTTAATATAACAGCACATAACCGAATGTTAATGGGGATCCCATCGATTAGTGCTGCCTGAGCTCTAACGCTTAGTGCGACACCAACGCCAGCAAGACCAGACGAAGATGCCACAGGGTCCCTGAATAAACGCACGTAAAACAAGCTTTTTGAAGCGACAGATGGAGATCGAATTTGTAGTACTTCACCAGAATCTTGAATATGGGTCTCGGATAGACAACAAACGTCGATATTAAGACTTTCCAAAGACATAGCCAGCCCTATCTGTTGTCCAACCTGCATAGGTGTACGAACGTTGAAGGCAGCCAGTTTGAATGGTGCACGTGGTTTTAGAAAAACTGCTTCAGTATTCGTAATCGGTGGTAGCATACAATTTTCAACTAGGCAGTGACACGAGAACGTTTAGATAGAACCGAATTTCCACCATAGGCGAGCTGCTGTATGAGTCGAGAAATAAGGATAGACAGAGTGGAAATAAGAGAGGGTGAATAAATGACTTAGTAAATAATAATAGTAATAATAATAACAGTATTAGCCACAACCGAGGCAAGAAAAGTACTTTCCATAATTATCGACAGTTCATGATATTTACGTGTGGGCTGTGATACTGCCCGGGTGCCCAGACCGAAGCAGATGGTTATCTTAGGGGGCCACACCCAGAGCCTTCGACCTAAAGGTCTAACCCACATGGTAGTGGAGCATTGTGAGGAGATGTAGTCCCATTGTTAATAATCATTGAACTGTTTTAAAATCCCCGTCATATTAAGCATCGATATATATATAAACGAAGAATATTGTTTTCTATAAAATTTCTTAAGGTTCTACAACTATACATCCAAATTATTAGTTCAAAAAGTGGCCAGATTCAGGGTAAATACACCTTATAATTATAACATATGAATTTAAGATTTTTCAAAATAAAATAAGAATATTAGAGTGACTAATGTGAAATATCAATTTTAATAAGTTCGCACGTTAAATGAAATAAAGAGAATAATGATCCAAATATATATAGGTAAGGTAAAGTGAAAGAAGTAATGATGTAAATAGAAATCCAACCAAATGTTTGACGAAAGACCGTTTAATTTATGAAGTTATGGGAACTCAGTAAGTAATAATAGAATGCGGTAAAACTACTTATTTTCTTTTAACCAAATAATTGAGAAATGCTAGTTTGCATTCAACCTAATGCTATCCGATAAATAATTTACCCGTTCATATATATCCTGTTTAAACCATCATTTCTGTTTCTTTATGGTCTAGTTTAACAGTATCGTATCATTTTTTCACGATAATAGTTGTTGATCATTCCCCTTAAAACGCCTGTTTACTACTTTGATGTTTATTGCTAGGTTTCTTTCTCTGTTATTCATTCATTTGTATGGTTTCTGTGTATGGATAATTTGAAGTGATTTGATCGTAACTCGGTACAAAATTCACTACTCAATTTCCCTTCTTTTACTTTTTCAAGAATATTAATGACTCGAAATACGTGTGATGTAATTGAGCTTGATATAAATACAGATATCAGAAAGTATATGGATTTTGAGTACATGGATGACTTATCATCTGGAAAGTGTGGAGAACACATGTGAGTTTCTAATAATTTTTTTCAATTTGAAAAATGTTGGAGTCCTTGGGAAAACGTTTCCACCTTCATTGAAACTGGGTTATTTGGCATGACCAAGTAAGGTCAGTTAATGACCAAATTCAGGATTTCATATTACACTATCTTAGCTTCAGCCTCTGTTTAAAGTCAAATTCTACTTCTGGGTTGTTCAAACCAACTTCTGGAGGACTTGTTCAGATATGGATTATAGATGACGGCACGAATAGTCGTAACAGTTTTGATTTTAAAAGGTCCAGGTGTCAGTTTAGGGGTCCTTCCTTAACTATTCTCTCTGATTTCAAATTATGGGGATACATTTTTGCTAATGTTAACCAATTATAACTGGCTAATTTGATTGAAAAAGAGAACATGGCCTTAACGTCTTCGTTAAGCAGGTCCTTTGCGAAGAGTCCAATCTTGAACACTAAAATTTTCTTATGCCTCCTCTCCGAATATGTTTTTTACTTGCTGGTTAGCTAACTAAGTGTTTTCAGGTTCTTAATTTTTCCTTCCAGACCAACTTTTTCTGTATCTCCTCTCTGACATTTTCCATCAAACTTAGTATGAACTCGTTCAGTCTTCACTACCGTATTATCCAATAATCTGAGCATAACCTATAAAGTATTATTCTGTCTAAATTTAAACGCTGATACTGTCTCAGAAGGCTGTAAAGACTGACGTTCGGTTTAATAAAAACCATAGGCTTGTTTTGCAAATTACTCAGTATGACCGTAAAGTATACAAATAGACTTTAATGAAACTACCCATATTCTGATTTGTTTGAACCAATAGAGTTGTTGTCCTCACTCAGTGGGTCAGTTAAATGCAACGTATAACCTGGCATGTGTATATCTGTCAGTGAGATAAAATCGTTAGAGAGTATCCCAGAGTCGTAGACGTCGTGATAGTATAAGAAAACACTCGACATCAAAAATACGATTCGAGGGAATATAAGTTAGCGAAATCAGAAAATTATAGGGAATTCAGAGGCTGATAATAATGATAAATTTAAATGATAATTGTCGTCATCAGAGTTAATTGAATTTATTCATAGTTTTTAAGTTCACGAACAAAATAAAACTACAATCAAAATTAAAAGTAATTTTACAGGAAATTAATCTAAACATTAGCCTATTTACAAGCTTTCAACCGTTGGTCCTTAGTTTTACTTTGTATGTAAATTATTTATCCCATGTTTTCCAGTTATATATCTCCTGAACAAATTCATTGCCACCTTTTAACACTCTCTGGAATCCCATCATCATTTTTTGCATCATTACTGAATTTGGATTTTATTCGACAACGTAATCGTCAAGCTGGGAAACTTTTAAATAACAATACTACTACTCATGCAGTTGCAGAAAATCTCATAAATCTACCATTCTTTTTGCCAGTTGTTGAGACCAATCAAGGCTTACTATCGGCTGATGATGATTTTGGTAATGGACTATCAACTAAACAACAATTGATTAATAAAACAAGTAATCGTAAACGACGTGGATTGTTGGATAAAGATTTCGAACACGCTATTGAACCCATACCAGGCTTATCTATGAGACTTATTCGAGCGAAATCAAATGATGAATGTAAGTGTTATTGGTGCATTTTTTAAATTTTTAAACCCTCTTTTTTAAGTAGCATACTGCTTTTCCCTTTTAATCATATTCTGTAGACTTTTGAAACCACTGTTGAATCAAGTTTTTCTTTACATCTAAAGTAATATCTACAGACGCAAATCAAAAAGCTTAATGGTATAAGTACCAACATTCATGACCGCATACTGATTTGTTGATCGAACATATTTGAAGTGTAGCAACACTATATTTTTGTTAAATCCCCACAGCAGGAAATTATCTCTTTTTTGTCCTTTTATAAATTACTAAAGATATAACTAAAGTAGCTCATGATGTCATTGAAGAACTTAAGATAACTATGCGAGAAATTTTTTTTCTACGATATCACTTAGGTCGTACAGTCGTTTCTACGATTCATTAACAGGTAAGGTAATCTGCTAAAAAAATAGAAGGATGACTGCACAATTTTAGGTGCCATAAGAAACGTAATAATCGCTAAGTTAAAGAAATTGGACTAGATAAAACTGAAAAGGTGGGAGAAAGGTGAAGAATGAATGAAAAACTTGGTAAGAATAACGTATAGTTATATGCAAATTGAAGACATTCAAAGGAAGTATTAAAGCCACTTTACCGTCTGTGAAAATTAGGTGTCATGACCATGGGAAAATAGCGGTTTTCACGAATCACTTTTGGCGTAGTGACCTCCGGTTTAAAAAAACAAATCGAAAACCCTTCTGTATTAATTTTTTCTCTACAGCCACACTGTTTGATTGTATACAATTTGAAGGATGTATCCGACGGAGCAGTTTGACTGAAGTTAACATGATGTCTCAGTATTGATCAATCTATTGTTTTAAGTACACTTCTCAAAAACCACCTAGGATCCGATTTAAAAGTGTTCGATTTGTGTGGCCAATGTGACCTGCTCTAGAACACTGCGTAAACACGATCATAAACTTATGTAGCCATATACGTGAGTTTATCTTTCACAAATCTACAAAAGCTAAAGGAGTTTGTAAAGGTGAAGCAAAGCTAGCTTACCAGCTTAAAAAGTTGTAAAAAGATGTGCATTTTATTCGTATAATATTTTTTGCTCATTCTAGTCGATCAGATTTCTCATGACTTAAAATCAGTTGGAACAACTGTACTAGATTTGGAAATTCGTCTACTTGTTCCATCAGCTGAAGAGGAAATGGCTTGTTTAAATCCTAAACGAACAAAAGCATTCTATGATCATGTGACCAATCCTTACTTAAAACTGCATGGATTTCTCCGATATATAATTAATCGGTAAGCGAACGTTCATTTTATTGTCATTACTTCTGTTGTTTTGGACCGCCTTCAGTTTACGACGCCCTGTGCTCCTCGATTCATCACTTTCCCGTTTGCCTGAGAATTTCAAGTTAGAACTTGCGTCGTGATTCAGTTCAATGGTTTCTACAGTGTCTTACCCACCTAACGCTTTTTCTTAATTTCCTTAACTGGAAGTCAGTTTCTTCACAGTCAGAGTATGTTATTGCTGATGGTCTCTAGACAATGGATCCGGAGTATCTTGCGTAGACACCTGTTTATAAACATTTGTACCTCATTATGGTGGTTGTGGTAGTTCTCCAAGTCTCAGCTCTTTACGATATAAAACTGCGTTGACGTTAGTGTTGAAAATTGTGACTTTAGTGTTGAGTGACAGTTGTTTTGAGTTCCAGATATTCTTCAGTTGTAGGAATGCTACCCTTGGTTTGTTGATTAGTGCTTTCACGTCCAAATCAGATCCTCCTTGTTTATCGATGTTGCTGTCTAAATAGTGTGGGTTTCTACTTCTTCCAGAGCTTCTCCATCAAGTGTGGTTTGGTTGGTGCTCACTGTTTTGCGTTTCATGATCTTTCTTCTTCTCTTGTGAATGTGTTATAGCTCAAAACCGCCAATCAGAAGCAGTGAATTATCAATCAGACCAAGGACGCGTAAAACACGTACGAGCAGTCTAGAATCCTGATTGGTCCTGCTTTCCACCTAGTCCAAAACATCAGTCTCAGCCTTGTCATATTTCAAACATACTGAGTTTGTATACCAATCAAACAGACCACAACGTAACATAAAATAGAAAATAACATTTGTACAAAATATGGTCAAATGTGGCTGTGAATGTGGGAGGCAGTGACTAGTAGACAGGGCATAATTCAAGAATGGTAAACGTATAATAATGGTTCATAGGTCAAAATAAGGCTTATAATAAGAGGAACATGAATATGAATAGTTTAGTTATTTAACAATTATACGATAAAAATATACGTTTAGTATTGGTCCATGAAAGGATCCCAAAGTTACCATTCATTATGTTTCTCGGGACCTAATAGAATGTTGAGGCCTATTTCTGTGGAAGCGGCTAGTACACTGGATATCTTCGTCTGCATTTGTTTTCGTGTATGCGATTGGGGGTCTGAGTCATCTCCAAAGCCCATATCGTCCAGTTGTGTCCACCGTATTCCATGTTCCTCCTTACGTATAGGGGTTCTCATTATCCAGTTGACAGATAGCAGTAAGAAAATGGACGAGAATATGGAGCCTTTTTTGACACTGGTCCTCACTTGCAACGCCTCAGTGAGTTGCCGTCCATGAACATTTGTTCATTTCCTTACAAATCCCAGTTTGTTGGTCTTTTGGGTTGAACGTTATGAAGTATTTCATTCAGTTCAGTAACACTGTTGATGATTTTATTTATTTATTTTATTATTTTAACATATAGATATTAGTACAATGAAGCACCGAATACATATGCACCACACAAATCCCATTCGATATGTGTGAGGGCTGTGATACTGTCCGGGTGCCCAAACTGAAGCAGATGGTTTTCTTAGTGGGCCACTCCTCGAGCCTTCGACCTGAAGGTCTGATCCACAAGGCAGTGGAGCATCGTAAGGAGATGCAGTCCCATGGAAGCCAATGACCAACAATTGGTTCATACGCGATTTGTTCCCGCATGATACTGGAGCCCATGTGCACCATTGATTTGGTTTGGGATTCTGTTAAAGCACCGGACATTCGCTTTTCGTCCTCTCAATTTCGTAAACAACACTCCCGCTACGAGAAGGCAGTGAGTAGGACTTCCCTGGAAAAGGCTATATACGCGTGGCCATGTGAGAGCACTTCGAGAGGGAGAGCGGATTCAACACACTCTCGGCCATATCAGGGCATTTGGGGGCTTAGTACTGACAGTAGAGTAATGCGTCTTTCGTTCTCACACTTACTAAGATCTTTCCTCGGTGTTGACAAAGTATCTCTCCTTCCAGCCTGTTGATTCTTCTTCTTCTTCTTCCGAAATCTCATCCCTGCTTCAGCTGGTTTTTCGCTCTTCATATTATCAATAGTCTTGCTGATTTTTTCTATTATTTGTGCGTCATGTCTTCAGAAGGTTTTACATTGTGCTTCGATGTAAGATTCAGTGGGGTGGTCTATTCAAGAGCTCTTGTTTGTTGTTGACTGATCTTTTGATTTACCATATTTCCCTGCTAGCTAGTTGGATGTATACTCTATTCATATAATTATCCTTTAAGGTTGGTATCTTTATTTCTCTTTTGTTTATTGACTCTGTTTTTTTTATTGCACTAAATATGAGTTGTCTTGTATTTTCTCTTAAAAACAGGTTTCAATCGAATCGAGATTTCGATCTTGCTTGCGCTTGTTTGGAAATTTTGTTGCAACAGCATAGTCATATTTTATTCCGACATTGTCATATACAGAACAATTTGTTTAATCAAAAACCGGACGAAATAAATGAAAAGTATCTACAGATAGTGATAAAAGATCAAATGGAATATGATTCGATATCCCCTTATTTCGTTACATTAATTTTAATTAACCAAGCAATAAAGACTAAAAGAAAAGCACAATCGAACTTAACACATTGTATTACTCAATCTTTATGTTTAGTTGATTTCATTCGTAATCCTGTGACTGCATTGCAGTTATAAATAATGATTAGTATATTGCTTTTTTTTCTCATGTTCATGTACGTGAATTTCTTTCGAAACAGAAGCGGTAATGATAACGTAATAAAGAAAAAATCCGGAAAGCCGTTTTATTTATTTACTAAAATGCGTATAGATTTGGTGGTGAACTTAAGTTTTATTTGGAAATGTAACCAGAAGCAGTGAATAATAATTTATTTATTCCTCGTTGACGTTTATAATTGCATGTTTATTCTATCGCGAATAGGTAGGGTTACCTTTGGTGGAGATGCAGTTAGGTTTAAACCTAGCCAATTTTTTATTGAATGCCTTAGTTTTGTGTAATTTAGTCTATTACGCAAGTAAATAAAACAGTTTTTCTTTGCTAGATTCAACAATATGTTTCTACAAAAACATTTCAATGAATATACGAAGTAAACAAAGAGAAACCATTTCCGTAATTTTACAACTAATTAACTAATAGCTTCCGTAGTTTGTCAAGGCTTCTTTCTCTGTCCACATAATCTCGCACAGTGTTCTGAGTCGCTGAACTTCCTATTTAGAAACTGTCTAAGAAGATTCCCCACGTTATGTCCTAGTGAAGATTAAACTTCGGGTAACTTCTGAGAACTATAAATGGACTAATATTTATATTTATTCTTAGTGTATAACTGTTCAGTAACTATATTGTGTATATCTATATTCCTCTTATTGTAAGCTTCGTTTTGACCTATAGATTCTTATTATACAAATTGCTATCCTTTAATTATACTCAGTTTATTAATTATTGTCTCCCACGTTCACAACCACATTCTGACTTGATCTTGTGTAAATGTTACTTCCTATTTCATAGTGTGATGCGATCTGTATGGCTTGTATATAAACCAAATATGATTGAAATAAATGATTCGCATAGTGTAAGCTGTTGTTGGCGTTCTGGACTTATTTGGACGGGCTAGGCGAAAAAAGGACGGACAAAGACGCTAGGCTGCTCATACCGGTCGAAAGTCATTGGCTTATCACAGTATTAAGATTGAATAAGTCGTATTTCGGTTAGTGAATAAACTATGTGATAACTCGCCGGGCTTAATGTTACAACACATAGTGCCCGGCTTCTCGGTTTTCTATGAAGTGCCAGCATTTTCCAGTATGTGGTTGGCGTGACGTATCCACTTTTGACCTTCAAATTCCACCACATACATGACATTTCCTCGTCTCCTAAGAATGTGTTCACTGGTCAATTGCGGAATTGAGCATCAGAAATCACGAACGTATACTTTTTGATTATTTTGGAAGATTCTGCGTTTTGTCCTATGATGACAATTAAGTTGTTTCCATCTTCCGGTCTTTGGTGTTATGGCATTGAGAGCAGTTTTATCTTTTCTACCAAACCTAATTTCTGCTAGAGACAAATGACTTGGGGCTGATAGAGTTGTTCTGTAGACCAATAGAAAATCATTAAGAATTTCCTTAATCTTCCGTTTAACCTTTAATGGCGTTCTTCTGAGAGTATACACAAACCTTTCGGCTTAACTATTCGATTGTGAATGATCTGGAGGTAGACGAACATGTTTAGCTACGTACCTGCTACAGAAATCTGAGGAAACGGAAGAAGTAAACGGAGTGCCGCTCGACACAGGAACATCTGGCACTCCGAAACTAGAGAATAACTGCCGTAACTTCATAATAGTCTCTTGCGAAGTGATTTGGTTCATGGGGAGAATCTCTGGCCATTTTGAATAATCATCGACACAAACGAGGAAATATGTACCTGTGATATTCAGGAGTATTTGAATTATAGTATGAACTAAGAATCCCAGAAATAACGTAATCGTATCAAGAAGTACTAGATAACCACAGACGAATGTACTGTATTTAGAATTCGAAATCAAGCATTCAACAAGTACAATAGAATCATTAATTCACTCAAGCACCACAGTACCCTTGAATGGGTCGGCAAAATCAATATGTACACACGACCAAGGTTCTTTTGGAGATGTCGGGATTTGGAAGGAAACAGGAGACTGGTATGGACAATAATATTAGAATAAAGTAAATGAGATTCTGAAATCTTACGAGAGCATACTTTATTTGAGGCATTTGATTGGTAATCATTGTGAGGACATGTTACATCGGAGGTATTTTATTTAAAATCATTATGAGAACATATATCGAAAACATTTAATACATAAATATCATGAGAACATGATATATTAGAGGCATTCGATACAGAAATATCATAAAAAAATTCAGAGGAAGGATTGTGAGGACATATCTCATTTAATGAACTATTCAAGGTATCAATCTTCTCAATACAGTCTAATCCTAATAGATCTAAATCATGCTGATTCATCAAATAGCAAACATCAGTGAACTTATGTTCCATGAATTTTACGTTGTACAGAACTTCTGTTACTTTCACTTTATCTCCTGAGGCATTTCGGGCAACATGTCCTGTTAGTGTAATGTGTTTGCACCCCAGCTTAAGCCACGTATTCTTGGAAATCAGTGTAATTTCGGAAGCCGCGTCCAACTAATGAAGTATAGGTTTGTTAGCGGGACATAGACTGGATTAAAGCATGCTCAGTACACGATTGCCCTGCTGCACGCTGATTGGCTAGTTCTTACCCATTCAGCGCTAGTCGATACTTGGAGAACACTCTAAAAATCTCGTGTAAAAACTATAAATATACTAACGTTTTTCCTGCCCAACCGTGTTCTGATTTGGGGACTTGTCGAGTGAATTTGTATCCAAGATTACTAAGCAATAGTAATAGCTGGGTTGTAATAAGAAAGAACTATAACCAGGTTTTCCATTTACTAATAAGTTTACTTCCTTCCGTTTACTTGGAAATCCAACCTTGAAAGTTGCGAACATGCTTTTGATTTGACCCTGTGGCTGTCGCTTCTCATTTCCGCTACGATATTTAGACTGGCGTTTATTTGATGAGCAGTGACCAAGCGATGACGTCGGTTGCATTTGTGACCCTTGAACGGGCATAATTTCAAAAAATGTCATGCTCCACACGGTGACGGTTGTTTGCAAGTTTTCGTGCTTCGTTTGGAAGATTTGGAGGATCTGAGTGCATTTAATAAACCGAAATCGGAAGGTTCCGCCTTCTGTTGTACTATCGCTCTATCATGTTTGAGATTTAATAACTGTTGACACTCGGTTGTGACCATTTGTGGAGTCATATTCGGTTCCTGCTCAAGACGTGCCAAAATCCTGGTACGGATATCGGTATCTTCTGGATTCTTTAAACCACAGATAAAAATCATACATTTAAACTGGTCTGCTGTAATTTCATTTATTTTAATTCGCTTGCATTCTCAATCTACTTTTCCAGTTTATGTGAGATAATCATTGGCTGAGAACTCGGATACTTGAAAACATTGATAGCGAGTGTTGAATAATAATTGTTGTTTTAATATAATGGGCATTTTTCAGCGAATAAATTGAGCATTAGGTAGATTGTTATAAGTAAATAATATATTTGTAATATCGCAATGAGTAGAAAAATTAGATTTCTGACCTTTTTGTGACTTAGCGTGTTGTAAATTGTAGTCTGTGCCCTACTAATGTATAACGTGATGATACCGCCAATTAGGGAGCAGTGACTTGTCGATCGGACCAATAACACATAAAGCCCGTGCGAGCAGTCTAGAGTATTTATTGGTCCTGCTTCCTGCCTAGCCCAGTCAGTTAAATCCAGAACAATCTCAGCCTCTGCGATATGAATCATGTATTTCAAACATACTGGGTTTGTATACAAACCAACCAGACCACATCGTATCATAAAATAGAAAATAACATTTGTACAATATTTAGTCAAAAATGGCTGTGAATATGGGTATGTAGGACCAGCAAAATGTCAGTAAGCCCTAACCAAATCATCCGGCATTTAGGTCATTGAATATCGAGCAAATCATCGATCCTCGTCAAGGTCAGGGACAATATATTTCTGTAATAACGTCCTCTGTGCTGTACAGTCTTCAAAGCATCTATGGTACCTTGATACCTCAATGGGGTAGTCCACGTAAGGTGCTGACCACGAGGTGTGACTTCGACGTTAGCTGGTTTGTCACACCATTCACGTCTAACTCGAGTAGGCCTCCTATCATTTTCGACATAGATCATCTACGTTGGTGATCTACAGGAGGTAATAATTGATAGACAGGTCATAAATGAAGAACGGTAAATCGTATAATAATAGTTCAGAGGTCAAAATAAAGCTTATGATAAAAGGAACACGAATATAAATAGTTTAGTTATTTAACAATTATACGATAAAAATATATGTATAGTATTTGACCATAAATAGATCCCAAGTTACCATTCATTATACTTATCGAGACACTTCCTCAGAGAATAAATAACCAAACAATTACGGAAATACAGTGATGTTTGAAGCTGAAGATTAGAGTGGAAAATAGAGTATAAGAGATTACGTTTAAATCACAATAGCCTTGGAACAGGAAAGGCTATGACAGTTAATCATACATCAAACGAAAGCTTATGATCTTTAGAATAGACTACGGGCAAAGATAAATGTTACTGTTTTACAGGCTTTGCATTGAATGAAATAATGTCTCGAAAAATAGCTTTCGTAGTTTTTCAAGTCTCCTTTTTGCTTTTCACACCATCTGAGCCAAGTCCCATGTGCAACCCTTAAACGTGAGCAAATGGGAAAGTGCAAATCATATATAAAATGTCTACTACGACTGAGCGTTTTTTCCGAGTCCATTTGCTGATGAAGAATTATTTTCTTGATAATACCATTCCTCCTTTATTAAATAATAGGACTCAGGTTTGTTAAAATAGTGAATCATAGTGATTTTGACTTCAAGGGTTTTTTGAAGATAAACAGGATTTGAGCTACAGTAATTCAAGCTTAAAAAGAAGAATATATTTGTAAAATCTCAGCGAATGAATTTTAAGTTTTTCTTAATATACACAGACCGAAGTCAATATTTAGTTGAATGAAATTTTTTCTCACATCACTTGCGTATAAACACATTCTGTTATCTTAACACATACCTTGTCCTTATGTTGAACAAAACAATTTGTCATAACCTTGAATTTACCTTGTAATCCTTAAGTCATTCTATGGCCTAGGATAACACGACAATTTCTTTCCTCTTGATTATTTTCAAATGAACTTTTATTGTTTGACCTTTATTAATTTTCATATAAACATGTCTCTTACACATTAATACAAATACATATTTATGAAAATACTTCACGTTGATTGGATGACTTATTCAGTATACAGTAAACCGAAGAACCTTGTACCTATTTATATTCGATAATTTTGTTGTTTGATTATATTTCCCTTGAAAAAGCTTGGACCAGATTGCCAGGCGAAACGTTGGATTTACTTAAAATTCATTCGCTGAGATTTTACAAATATATTCTTCTTTTTAATGTCTCAAATGAACTCGGCGCCCAAATATTGTGAAACTATTCGTTTAAATTTAGACGAAAGTTCTTATTTAGTAATTCAAGCTGTCAATAATGAATAACGGAATCTTGATATGCTAATCTTAATTACCTTATCTAAGAAAGCATCCTGGTTCTCATTTTTTGAGGTATACTGTCACATCTTGATCTGTCTACCTACTAATATACCGGAAATAACTTGCTTTAGTCTAGATTAAGACGTTGACACGATAGGTTTATTCGTTCAACCTTGAGGCTAAAAACGTGTGGGTTCGAAGTGAGATTAGCTGCCTTAGATAGACGAAAACTATTCTACCACCTGGCTGGCTGACAAGCACGCGAGAGAGGAAGGGTGAATCAACTGGAAAAATAATCGATTTATTCCCGATTACTGCAAAAAGGTACATGACCACAATACATAAAAGTCGAACAGTTCTCTTCAAGATGCTAGGACAGCTTATATCAACTAGAGGGTAGTAAATGAACTGGATCTCCAGTCGGTGAAAGTCTATAACTTTGCTCAGTCCTCATGATGAACTACACTCAGGATCGCGTTTGTTTGATAATGGCTTCTATTCTCGTGGAAATATGTAGAGAGATTCAAAAAATAATTACAAAGCAGGTTACAATGGTGAGGACGTTTGGAAGATGTTTATCCTGCGGTAAATTCCTAAGTCATATATTATCCTTATTTACAACTTCCACTTAATATTTGGAAACCATTATATCTGTCCAGTTGTACTTTCCTCGATTTTATTGTTGATATTGACAGTGTCCAGTCCATTTTCATTGGGAAGTTGAAGCCATTAAAACTTGGTGCTATAATTGTGCTTATTAAAGTTTCCATTTCTAGTATTACTAGTCACAAACTTCCTATTCTTGGATGTTGTAATCTGTTAATCAGAAATGATAAATTTCTCATTACTGAGAATGCTTTAGGGTCAGCTTTCCTTATTGACCACTGGAAATGGTTCTAATACTGTTGTGGAGGTAAATATATCCCAAAAATGAATAGCTCTGAAAGTCTTCGATATTTGATGCTAACCACTTTAGTTTTAATGGACTTAGCTGATTGAAGGCGCTCGGTCATGCATCCGCACCAGATCACAAGTGAGTACGCCGTACTTCATTTCTCCTATAACCGCTAGCCAGCCTAGATTAGTCACTTATCAAATAATTCTTCGAGTCTCCTCACTTCTGATTTCATTGTGTTGGTACGTTTCAATCACAAAAAATATTACTAGTTAATGTGTCGTCAAACTCTGAATACTTGTGACCTCTTAATTTCGCTTAACAATTTGGGAATTTAGGAATTAAAATAGGAAAATTACACATGACTTCAAATCACACTCATTCTCCTGTACTATTTAGGAATTTCAGAACCCTACAAACAAGAGTCGTTTCTCGTACTTCCAAAAAGGAAAACGACCCGGAAAGAACAGTATACGTAATTCCTTAGAGCAAAAAGAATGACACTGAAATTGCTTAAAAAGACTATGCCAGCAATAGCTGACCGTCAACGGGATTAAATGATGACATGAATAAGTTTTAAAATAGTAGAAAATAATTACGTGTCGTAAATGAATGCGATGGTGGACGTTGGAGCAATAGGTTAGGCGTTGACGCGTCAGACCTAAGGTCCCTAATTCTAGTCGCACGTGTGCGATCCTCCATGCGTACTGCTCACCAGCCCCATACTACGACCAAACGGAAGTCCACTACTTCCAGCTTTTCAATCGTCCTTTAACATTCATCATAACAATCTGAATTCCGTATCTTACTGTAATACTGATCATCCTCATCTATTATTTAATGCGTGTTTACTTTTAATTTCTTGTACAACTCCCAGTTTTTTTATTAAGTGACTAATATATTTCTTTGTTTCCACATATTTTGCTGTGAATACTATACATTAGGATTGTTTATAGCTTGAAGATGTTAATAAATTTCAAAAGGAAATTTTTTGACGGCGTCCTGTTCTCTGAGTCAGGTTGTTCAACCGTGAAGCTTCCATTGTCTCGTTGATAACATCATCAGCAGATATTTCAATAAGTCCTGAGTGATTGGCGTTTCTCCGTAACTGACTAGTTATTTGCTCTGTTAACCTACAATTCGGTTGATTGTTGTCCATAGATATGACTGTTGTTTGCGCATTTGTTTTAAGTGTTTTCACCTTTGACCTTGGATTTGTTCCTCTTTTTTGTTAGTTGATAAATCGAGCCAATTTCAATGTTTATTGATTAGTGCATTACCAGTGTCATGACAGGTCAATGAAAAGTGAAAAAAAATAAATCTGCACAATGGGTAGTTTAACAGGAACATGAATATTATCAAAACTACCGAAAGGACTAATTGCTTTAAATCTGCAAATGATAAATTTATTTTAAGTTGATTTGTTTCTAGATAATATACAAACAATTAATTATTCTAGATGGTTTGTAGAACACAGAAAAGACATAATACATTTAATTGAATATACAAGTATATGACACTATATTTAGGGGAAGTTAGATTTAACTTCCTCCCAAACTAACTAATAAAACAAACAAAATTGTCATACCTCCCGTATAGAAAGTGTGTGGACGATTGAGTCAATCCACCATACACAGGCAGAAATGAATGTGACAATGATGTTATAAAAACAGAACACTTGAAAATTAAACGTCTTACTAAAATGCAGATGTAGTGTGTTACAAAAAAACCCAGTAATTGTCTACATTTTTTTATGTGAAACAGAAGTGAAGAGTCAAAATATTGATAGTTCACAAAAAGTTTCAGTCGGGAGTTTCATTTTCAGACTCCGATGGCGTATCCAACCCAAGAGGGTTTTTACCAGATATTTCATGAGAATCATATTGATACGGTTGAGATGCTTCATCATCCGTAGGAGGTTTGGATGATATACTTGGAGTAATACCTGGTGAACCTGCGTTTTGTTTTACGCCAGAAGTAACTGTACGTTGAGGTGCTAAGTTAGAGTCTTCATCGTAAATTTGTACACCAATACAGTCAGGTGTAAGTTGTCTTTTCACTGAACGACTTGTTGAGTCCAGTGTATTTTTTGATATTCGATCTGAGTAGGACAATGTTTCCTCGCCTCCGCGTTCTTTATCTTGGCTTTCAATTACTGGAGGCTTTGAAACTCGTTTCGCAAAGCCCAAACTAAGCGGTGAATCTGGATTGAATAAAGTTGTCGAAGACAAAGAATTTCGGTTTGTAATTTTTGAGAGATTATTATTAATTTTACGACGTTTAATATTATGACTAATAATTGCCTTCTCTTTTTGTAACTGACGTATTGTAGCCTGGAAAAAAGGAGACAAAGTACGGTCAAATGCTGAGTGAAAAAAATTAGAGTTATGTTTAAAATTGGTAGTTTTCGATTGTTCTTTACGAAGTTCTCCAGAGACAAGGGAAAAAGCCGAAAGTGCTTTAACCAACTAGTGCTCATTGGAAACTTCCAGAAAAATCTAGGAATCAGCTAATCGTCTTTTCCTTATTCTGATTAGATAATCACTAAGTTGTTTTGCTAACTTCGTTTTGTTTTCAGAAACTTTTAATATCTAAAAGCTGTTCACAACCTAACGTTCGAAGTAACCCTACTGCAATTTTTGTTTACAGTTCGACAGAGCTAGATTTTCGGGGACTAGGAAGCAAATATCCATGATGTCCAAAATACAACAAAACTTATTATTAATGTACAAATATTTCGAAAAAATCCCAAATAAAAAGCTTATAATTATTTCAAAGTATAAACAATTGACTGAACAGAAAACAAACGGCTTGATTCTCTTTTTTAGTCTGACTGCTTTATCACATGGATCAGAAGTTTGATTGGTAAAAAATATATTTGAGAAAATCAATGCACTACACAGTTGAGAAGAAAATCGACTTACTAGCAGCCGATCTTGTTCAAGCTGTGCGGCTGATTTTATTTTTCGGACACGATCTTCATTCATTGATTTTATTTCAATCATTTCAGAGCGTAATTCCGCTATTGTACGATCTTTGGTTAACAAGTCAGAGTCTTTAAGTGTTAATTGACGTTTGAGTGATTTGATCTCATCTTGTAACTGGCTTATAGTAAGTAGGTGTTCATTGTACACAGAATCTAAGCTAAATTAATGAAAATAGGGTTAAGTAAATGTGGAAATATGAATAATATCTATTAATATCAAGAGGGGGATTAAGCTACCTAGGATAGACATGGTATTCGGATGTCAATATCATACAGAAACTTAATTTTTAACCTGAATGATAAGTCTTCGAATTGAATGCTAGATTCGGTACTTAAGCTCTTCTAGTAATCGCCAGGCTAAATCTACACAGCGATTTAAAACGAGAGAAATATGGAATAAACGCTTTACTTAAAGGTTTGTCTATGTACAAAAAATCTAGGGTATTTATGGCATTTTAAATTGCCTTAGGCTTCCGGAAAGGTCTGGGACGCTACTAAACGTACTAGCAGTATAGAAACGCGACGCGTGACTTCTTACTTTCCGGATGCGCCCACCCTCCCTCTCGAAATACTCTCACACGGCCACGCGTACACAACCTCTACCAGGTAAGCCCTACTCACTGCCTTTTCGTGGCGGGGTGTTGTCTACGAAATTAAGAGGACGAAAAGCGAATGTCCGGCGCTTTGACCGGATCCCAAACCAAATCAATGGTGCACATGGGCTCCAGTATCCTGCGGGAACAAATGAAGTATGAACTAATCGTTGGCCACTGGCTACCATGGGACTGCATCTCCTCACAATGCTCCACTACCATGTGGGTTAGACCTTTAGGTCGAAGGCTCCGGGTGTGGCCCCCTAAGATAACCACCTGCTTCGGTCTGGGCACCCGGGCAGTATCACAGCCCACACGCAAATATCATGAACTGTCGATAATTATGGAAAGTACTTTTCTTGCCTCGGTTGTGGCTAATACTGTTATTATTATTACTATTATTATTTACTAAGTCATTTATTCACCCTCTCTTATTTCCACTCTGTCTATCCTTATTTCTCGACTCATACAGCAGCTCGCCTATGGTGGAAATTCGGTTCTATCTAAACGTTCTCGTGTCACTGCCTAGTTGAAAATTGTATGCTACCACCGAATACGAATACTGAAGCAGTTTTTCTAAAACCACGTGCACCATTCAAACTGGCTGCCTTCAACGTTCGCACACTTATGCAGGTTGGACAACAGATAGGGCTGGCTATGTCTTTGGAAAGTCTTAATATCGACGTTTGTTGTCTATCCGAGACCCATATTCAAGATTCTGGTGAAGTACTACAAATTCGATCTCCATCTGTCGCTTCAAAAAGCTTGTTTTACGTGCGTTTATTCGGGGACCCTGTGGCATCTTCGTCTGGTCTTGCTGGCGTTGGTGTCGCACTAAGCGTTAGAGCTCAGGCAGCACTAATCGATTGGATCCTGCTGTAACCTTTTACTTTCTTCATAAAAAATGGTTGTTTCTTCCTTAACTGAAAGATTTCTTCCGATTGTACCTTTCAGTTTCCCCCAATATTACTATTATTACAATACCTTACACTAATCTGTTCGTTATTGTTTTTCTTTCTCTTCGAATTCTCATTTTGTGTGGCGTATATATAATTGGTGCCCTCTTGTACGAATATTTATGTTCAAATAAATAAATAAACTCCACCTGGACTCCTTGCGTGGACTACTGCCGTTCCCAAGCCCAGATAAAAGAGGAGGGTTAGGCATGGGGTTAGCGACCCCATCTCGTGGAAAACTAACTCGCTAAAAAGACGCTAACCAGAAAAAATTATTCAAACCTTTTAAACTCTGCCCTGGGAGTGAGGTCTGCATTTAGAAGAACTGTGACGCCTCATGATGAAAGCCAAGTTTCTTCGGAAGTCACGAGGCCGATGCCCCTTCCGACAACCAGAGCTACCATTTATTTAGGTACATAGAATACTCGTACAATGTAGGAGACTGGGAGAGTCTTCCAAATTGCTGCAGAAATGAGGAGATACAACCTAGAGGTGCTTGGGATCAGTGAAACACATTGGACGAAAGTTGGACAACAACGACTAGCTTCAGGGGAGCTTCTGCTATACTCCGGCCATGATGAAGAAAATGCCCTACATATACAAGGAGTTGCATTGATGCTGTCCAAACAAGCACAAAATGCACTCATGGACCAAGGATCATCAAAGCCTCCTTCAAAATAAAGAAAGAGGGCATTACAATGAAAATCATCCAGTGCTATGCGCCTACCAACGACTACAATGAAGACGCCAAGGATCAGTCCCACGATAGGCTACAGTCAATCGTCGAGAAGTGACCAGCAAAGGACCTGACCATTCTGATGGGAGATTTAAATGCCAAGGTTGGAATGGACAACACCGGATATGAAGACATCATGGGACGGCACGGACTGGGAGAAAGGAACAAATCTATGTGGCTTCAATAAACTGGTCTAGGCGGAACTATATTCCCACATAAGCGCATTCGCAAAATCAGATGGACTTCACCGGATCACACCACGCAAAACCAGATCGACCATATCAGCATCAACAAAATATTTAGGAGGACAATGGAAGACGTGAGAACCAAGAGAGGAGCTGATATAGCATCAGATCATCACTTGCTGGTCGCCAAGATGAAATTGAAACTTAAAAAGTACTGGACAACAGGGCGGAAAATATCCCAAAAGTTAAATACGGCCTTTCTTCGGGATACTGATAAACTCAACAAATTCAAGATAGTCCTCAGCAATAAGTTCTAGGCCTTTCATGATCTACTCAATGGAGGAACTCCTATGGAGAGCAATTGGAAAGGGATCAAAGAAGCAATCACTTCAACATGTCATGAGGTTCTGGGCCACAAGAAGCACCATCACAAGGAATGGATCACTGTTGACACACTGGATAAGATTCAAGAAAGGAGGAACAAGAAGGCAGCAATCAATACCAGTCGAACAAGAGCAGAAAAAGCCAAGGCACAAGCTGAATACACAGAAGTAAACAAGCAAGTGAAGAGGAGCATCAGAACTGACAAACGTAAATATGTGGAAGATTTGGCAACGACGGCGGAAAAGGCTGCAAGAGAAGGAAACATGAGACAACTGTATGACACAAAGAAACTCTCTGGAAATCACCGTAAACCGCAGCGACCAGTGAAAAGCAAGGAAGGCAAGGTAATCACCAACATTGAAGAACAACGAAACAGGTGGATAGAACACTTTAAAGAACTCTTGAATCGACCAGCCCCACTGAACCCACCCAATATCGAAGCAACACCCACGAACCTTGCAATCAATGTTGGCCCACCAACAATTGAAGAAATCAGCATGGCCATCAGACAAATCAAGAGTGACAAAGCAGCAGGACCAGACAACATTCCAGCAGAGGCACTGAAAGCAGACGTAGCGGCAACTGCAAGGATACGCCACATTCTCTTCAATAAGATTTGAGATGAGGAACAAGTACCAACAAACTGGAAAGAAGGACCTCTGGTCAAAATACCAAAGAAAGGTGATCTCAGCAAGTGTGATAACTAAAGAGGTATCACTCTTCTCTCAATGCCAGGAAAAGTCTTCAACAGGGTATTGTTAAACAGGATGAAGGGCTGCGTAGACGCCCAACTTCGAGACCAACAGGCAGGATTCCGTAAGGATCGTGTACAGACCAAATCGCAACTCTACGGATCATTGTGGAACAATTAATTGAATGGAATTTATCACTCTACATCAACTTCATTGGCTACGAAAAAGCATTTTATAGCGTGGACAGGACAACGCTATAAAAGCTTCTTCGACACTACGGTGTGCCTCAGAAGATAGTCAATATCATACAGAATTCCTATGATGGATTAAACTGCAAATTGTGCATGGAGGACAATTGACAGACTCGTTCGAAGTGAAGACCGGTGTTAGGCAAGGTTGCTTACTCTCACCCTTTCTCTTTCTCCTGGTGATCGACTGGATCATGAAGACGTCGACATCTGAAGGGAAACGCGGGATACAGTGGACATCTAGGATGCAGCTGGAAAACCTAGACTTCGCAGATGATCTGGCCCTACTATCGCAATCGCAACAACAAATGCAGGAGAAAACGACCAGTGTAGCAGCAGTAGGTCTCAATATACACAAAGGGAAAAGCAAGATTCTCCGATACAACACAGCATGCACTAATGCAATCACACTTGACAAAGAAGATTTGGAAGATGTAAAAACCTTTACATATTTGGGCAGGATCATTGATGAACATGGTGGGTCTGATGCAGATGTGAAAGCGCGGATCGGTAAAGCAAGAGCAGCATATTTACAACTGAAGGACATCTGGAACTCAAAGAAACTGTCAACCAACACAAAGGTTAGGATTTTCAATACAAATGTCAAAACAGTTCTAATGTATGGAGCGGAAACCTGGAGAACTACGGAAGCCATCATCCAGAGGATATAGGTGTTTATTAACAGTTGTCTACGCAAAATACTTCGGATTCGTTGGCCGGACACTATTAGCAACAACCAACTGTGGGAAAGAACAAACCAGATCCCAGCGGAGGAAGAAGCGCTGGAAATGGATAGGACACACATTGAAGAAAGCACCCAACTGCATCATAAGACAAGCCCTCACGTGGAATCCTGAAGGCCAAAGAACACACTACAATGACAAATGGAGACAGACATGAGAAAAATGAACAAGAATGGGATGGAATTAGAAAAGGCCCTGGACAGAGTGGGTTGGAGAATGCTGGTCGGTGGCCTACGCTCCATTAGGAGTAATAAATAAATAAGGAGCTGAACTGATGTTCTTCAAAGAAGCACAAAAAGCGCCTATAGGATGGGAATCTTATAGTTCTAGGATCACTAAAGCACTCTTCAAAATAAAAGAAGGGATTGCAAGGGATGTCATTCAGTGCAACGCATTTGCCAATGATAACAGCAAAAATAAAGATCAGTTTTATGGGAAGCTGCAGTCCGTCGAAGAGGACTGCTAAGGAAAATACCTGACCATCCTGATAGGGAATCTGACGTCCCGTGATGGGGCAACACAGACTGGGAGGATGGAACGAGTAGTGAGACTTGCGGATTCATGTGCTTTTAACAATGTGTTTATAGGCAGCAGCATTTTGCCTCTCAACTATATACATCGAGCTACATGTGTTCCACCGGACGGCATTAGGGAGAACCAGATCGATTAAACCTGCATCAGGAGGCCAATGGAAGACATAAGAACAAAGAAACGAACTCGTATAGCTGCAGACCACCATCTGGTAGTGGCTGAACTAAAATTAAGGAAAAGGAGGTTTTGGACAGTTGGACAACCAGCACTATCAAAAGTTAATAAGACATTTGTTGAGATACTAACAAATTCAGTGAATTCATAATAGCTCACAGTAAGTAGTTCCAGGCCTTACAAGGACTACTAGAACAAGTGGAAACCATTGTGTAGGACTGGAAAAGGATCTGAAAAGCAATAACTTGAACATACTAAGAAGTGGTAGGTATTTATTTATTTGAACACATAAATATTGGTACAAGGGGGCACCAAATATATATGCGCCACACAAAACAATGAGAATGGGAAGAAAAAAAAGAAGAGGAACATTAACCACCAGACTAGTGTAAGGAAGTGTGATAATAATAATAATGGGGGAAACGGAAAGGTACATTCGGAATCTTTCAGTTAAGGAAGAAATAACCACTTTTTACGAAGAAAGTAAAAGGTTACAGCGGAATCGCCACTGATTTCTATTCTGAGCCATATCGGATAACGTCTCTAGCCACTGTGTAGCACCATCTCTCGGACCCCAGCCGTGAAGGACCAACACAAGCCAGTCCTTTGCAGCTTTCTTCCATACTACGACACCATGTCATACACTGACCACCTCTCCGCTTTTTCCAACCAGCCCCAGCGTCGGCAAATAATGCTCGACGTGGAATTCTCTGGGACGACATTCGTAGAACATGTCCAAGCCGGTGAAGTCGGTGTTTTAAGATGGTGACACCAATCGGATTATCGTATCTGCGCCAGAACACACGATGCCCAACCTCTGCATTACTAACATGGTGTTGCCACTGGATGTCAGCAGTCCTTCGGAGACAACGATGATCAAACACAGAAAGTCGTCTAACAACATCGATGGCAAAGTTGTAGAGGAATGGTGAGATTGAGCAACCCTGTCCAACTCCACTGCTCGAATGGAACAGTGGAGAGAGGTGGTTGTATGCCCTCACTCTGCCTGAGGTGTTTGTATATAGGGCTTTTAGGATGTTAATAAACTTTCCAGGCACACTCCTCTTCAATAGACAATCCCAGAGAACAGTCTTATCCAACGAATCGAAAGCATCCCTGATGTCAAGAAACACTACGATTGTTAGCCTTTGATAAGTATGACGTTGTTCTAACATTTGGTGGAGGATGAAGATATGATCAATACATCCTCGACCGGAATAAAAACCAGCCTGCTCCTCGCAAGTCAATCTTTCTCGGGTTTTGAACAACCTGCGAAGTATGATGGAAGTCAATGGCTTGGACGCGATCGGAAGCAGACTTATCCCCCGATGGTTGTTAGAGGAATGACGTGAACCTTTTTTAAAGGTGGTGGTTAGCAAAAAGCATGGACATAAAGAATGCAAATAGCCTGATAAATATTAAAGAGATAGGAAACGGAAGATAGCAGTCAATGCAGAATAAGAAGATAGTCACCATCATACGGAACCCTCATAAAGGATTGAACTGCAAAGCTGTATGTGGAGAACAGTTACAAGACGTATTTCAACTGAGGACCGGTGTCAAAAAGGCTCCATATTCTCGTCCATTTTCTTACTGCTATCTGTCAACTGGATAATGAGAACCCCTATACGTAAGGAGGAACATGGAATACGGTGGACACAACTGGACGATATGGGCTTTGGAGATGACTCAGACCCCCAATCGCATACACGAAAACAAATGCAGACGAAGATATCCAGTGTACTAGCCGCTTCCACAGAAATAGGCCTCAACATTCTATTAGGTCCCGAGAAACATAATGAATGGTAACTTTGGGATCCTTTCATGGACCAATACTAAACGTATATTTTTATCGTATAATTGTTAAATAACTAAACTATTCATATTCATGTTCCTCTTATTATAAGCCTTATTTTGACCTATGAACCATTATTATACGTTTACCATTCTTGAATTATGCCCTGTCTACTAGTCACTGCCTCCCACATTCACAGCCACATTTGACCATATTTTGTACAAATGTTATTTTCTATTTTATGTTACGTTGTGGTCTGTTTGATTGGTATACAAACTCAGTATGTTTGAAATATAACAAGGCTGAGACTGATGTTTTGGACTTAACTGTTTGGGCTAGGTGGAAAGCAGGACCAATCAGGATTCTAGACTGCTCGTACGTGTTTTACGCGTCCTTGGTCTGATTGATAATTCACTGCTTCTGATTGGCGGTTTTGAGCTATAACACATTCACAAAAGAAGAAGAAAGATCATGAAACGCAAAACAGTGAGCACCAACCAAACCACACTTGATGGAGAAGCTCTGGAAGAAGTAGAAACCCACACTATTTAGACAGCAACATCGATAAACAAGGAGGATCTGATTTGGACGTGAAAGCACTAATCAACAAACCAAGGGTAGCATTCCTACAACTGAAGAATATCTGGAACTCAAAACAACTGTCACTCAACACTAAAGTCACAATTTTCAACACTAACGTCAACGCAGTTTTATATCGTAAAGAGCTGAGACTTGGAGAACTACCACAACCACCATAATGAGGTACAAATGTTTATAAACAGGTGTCTACGCAAGATACTCCGGATCCATTGTCTAGAGACCATCAGCAATAACATACTCTGACTGTGAAGAAACTGACTTCCAGTTAAGGAAATTAAGAAAAAGCGTTAGGTGGGTAAGACACTGTAGAAACCATTGAACTGAATCACGACGCAAGTTCTAACTTGAAATTCTCAGGCAAACGGGAAAGTGATGAATCGAGGATCACAGGGCGTCGAGAACTTGGCAAACTTGGAAAAGAGATTCTAAGACAGCTTTGCTTAGAGATCTCTGGTCGGGGGTTTGAATCCCACTTCACCTACTTCGGTTTAGGTAACCAAATAGTAAATTATTAGCGCGGCTCATTTCTAATTACCAGGCAAATGAGTTAGTAAGAAACATAGACAGCAATGAGAAACATTGTTCAGAAGAAATATAGTCGTTGATAGGTCGAACAAAAGCTCATTGAATGATCCGACCGTATTCATACAATCCCCGAGGTCGTTTTAGTCTAAACAGTGCATTCATCTCTAACGAAAAAGTATTTCACAGCACATGGTTCTTGAAATGTATGTATTATAACTATGTCACTTGTGAGGAACTGGACTTTATTATCTTGCATTTTATCAATTGTGAACTATTTCCTTATTGGTTAACACTCTTCTTATCTGTTCAGCCACACATCTGTGCTAGTATGCGTTGAGATTAATTGTTATTGACGAGTTAATTACCTTGAATTAGTTTAACGGAAACTAACAATTATTTGTTGCAGAACCCCTTATTATTCATTTATTTTCATATACAAATATTTCGAGGAACCAAAATAGTCTTTTAAATGCATTCAAACTTAGGTGCGTTGTCCTGGTACGTCTGACAGCATTAGCGTCTATAGGGAACTGCTTAGTTTTTAAAAAACTCATAAGTCACTAGCATTCCATATGACCACACAATTAGCGTTTGCATATACACATAAATCCTGCTCAATGACCTATTACTTACCTTAGTGCTTGAGTAGTTAAAGCCTGTTGTGCATGCATCTGCGTGTCAATTTGCCTTGTTCCAAACCCATCGGTATAAGTCTTTTTAAGAGAGCTAAAATTCAAAAGTTTATGTGAATACAGCTTTTTAATTTGTCTAGAAAACGAAATATGGGCACTAAGATTCTAACCTTTTATTTTAAAGAATTAAGGAATATTATTTTTAACAATTCCCATGAGTCATCAAATAAACATTGTAGCAGACATAGAAACACTGAACCCGATATGACACGATCTCATAGAATGAGATACAATGAACCCGAAATTCCCCACACGGGTCGGAAGATCACTCATAGATATTGTGGACTGCAGCTGCTTTTGTCTGGGCAGCATCGGTCCTTGATCCACTTCCATCTTAGCCGGCAAAACTTGACGCACTAGATAGTAACTGGGCAAGCACCGAATGCTCTGACAATCTATAAAGAGAGGATGTTGTTTCAGAGACAATCATGAATATTTGTGACTTACAGATATCTGCCTTGGGTAAACGTCCCTACCAGTCAAAGAGCATTGTGCGGACTTCATAAAATATTCGTTTTATATTGGGTAGTTAGATATCTCTCCTGCATCATTACTGGTACAAAGTGATAAAAGCAGGATGAGCATTTTGTGTTTTCTCTGATATTATCTACCACCAACTCACCAGTTATTTACTCTTAAAGTGGGGTGACCAAATGACTCCATTGCTTCACCATACTTCCAAACTGAGAATTAAAGTAGAGCACTACTGAAGTAACACTCTGGACGCAGAGATGGTTGGAAGAGAATTAGGGGCGGCCAAACCAAAACGTGGCATCAGTGCGCGAAGACACTAATCTCTAGTCTGAGCCATGTTGGTAGATGCAGACTACCTGGTTGGGATCCGCGTGACTTTCGTAACCAATGGTTGGAGACTCTTGGTGACATGGCTCAGAATCGATCACAATGGCGTCGGTGCATACACTCCCTGTCTTCCCTTAAACTAAGACATTAAAATCGCTTCATATCTTTCTTTCTACGAACTAATGATATATTCCGGTATTGTATCCTTATATGCAATCTTTCTCCCATATATTACCACCTTTAACCTAACCACTCCCATGAATCCGGTGTTCATCTTTCGGTGCTAACGAGGTATGGCAACCTGGACCGATGCATATATGTGCCTGGTCCTACGTTGTATCTGACTGACTGGACGCAGTGGATGAGAGATATTCTGGAAATTCTTGTACTGTTAACCAAGTTATATGAAAGATTGCGTTTTATCAGCCCCTCCACCTAGTAAAACCCTTTTTAAAACAACCTTTTCGTTGAAATTTCTATGTTTATTAAATCAAGGATAAACATGTATATGAACCAAAATATAATCCGAGCTTAATTATTCCGATAAAAGCAACGGTATTTAGCCACCAACATTCAGTAGTGATTGGTGTGTCTACAGTTGGTATGATATTAGTAGTTGTTAGGTCAGAGAATATTTAAGCCTTCAGTACTTGTTTGACGTAGGTAGATATCTAAGCACAAGATCAATGGATGGGGGTCATTGAAATTCTAAAAACATCGCCTCTTTCATTTTGCTTGGCTCAATTTTATGACTTTGAAACGAAATTTGCCTGTAACAATGGGCTATTCAGTCAGACAGTCATAGGCAACCGTGAACTATTCATAAAAATAGGAAATGAATAAAGAGACAATTCACTGCTACATATTTCTTTACCGGTTTCTAAAAGAGCTCGAGATTGACATTATTTATTGATTTGATGTTTAGAGCTTTGCAAAATACTATTGAAATCAACCAGGAACCTGAGTTCTAGCACCTTAATTACATGGTGAGGGGAAAAAGAAAGGGGCCGGCTTACTTATGACTTGATCTCGAACGGTTTGCAGTTGAAGGCTGATAACCATCATGTCGACGTTTGTTGAATCCATGAATAGAGCGTTCTTTAGATCGAGCTAATTTAAAATTGTATGTACACACCCAACAAAGAATCTGTCCATCAACTTTCTCTCGGCTGGCCTATACAAATAAACGAGGACAAAATATACGGATTGGAAAACTGTCTCGATAGTAATTTCAGTGAAAAATGATGCTTCAGAGAATATCGGAAAACAAAAACGTCAAGTCACAATGAACACAAAATAATTAATAAATTTAGCTACCAACAGTGAGTATGGGCATAGGTTTACCAATTAGATAGTGACTCCATATTAACGAAAAAAGCTATTATACCCACAAAACAATGTGTGAATACCTTTTTATTGAAATAGATAATTGGATTGTTTAGGTGAATTTTTTGCAATAACACGACAAAAATTTCCAGTGTGAAATCTTGGTGAAATATGTGCAAGTGCAGTAAGTGACTACTCACAAAATTATTTCAATCCAGAAATTAATCATTTACTCTTAAATTTCCCACCGAAATAAAAATGTGAATTAACTTAATAGCAAACGTATCACAATTATAAGTAGTGATCCAGGAACTACTTTTTCAAGTCGAAATAGTGGTACTAGAATCATCTCACGTTATTTATCTTCAAAAGACACATTCTAATCTTGGGATATATCACAAATGTGAATGTCCGAGTCAAGTTGAAGGAAGGCAACCGAATCCACATCGTGTACATTGTTCTTTAAGGCTAACGAATACATCCGCTTAAAGTTTCAACTGTTGTCAGCAGGATGTTCGAGCTGCACTTTGCTAGTAATTTAATGGCTATGATAGCGTTATACAAGCCATTCTGTTCCACAAACGGTCCCCAAAAGTTACAAGCAACCTACAGTCATAAATAGTCGCACTCTTAGAGTGCTAAAACTTAAAAGGTACTACTGAGAGGAATAAAAATAAACTAATGACATTGGATATAGGCAGTTCAAACAAGCAATAAACTGATGCACAAGCACGATAAGAGAAGATAGGCTTCAGTACTAGATAAAGCTAATCGAAAAATGTCTGCAACCCGAAAAGTTTATTTCTTCATGCAGCCTTTCTTCGACAAGCCAAAGTTTTCCAGTTGCTAAGTCCTAATGGTCCAACCAAGAACGACGGCGATCCCGCAGTGCTTGTCAGAACAGTATTTTTAAATATTTCAACATTCACATGCAAATTACATCGACGAGAGCTTCACTTGGAACCTAAGAAGAGTCTCAGAAGCAAGCGTTAGCGCTGGGACTCGTATGTCAGAAATTGAAGCGTCTAAACAAGGACAATATATGTTTGTGTGGATACATGCACATAGAGAAGGCAATCAAACAATGCAACCAAGGGTTATGGGACATGTGCCCAGATGGCCTTAAAACCAGTTAGTGTCAAATGTTCATATAAATGTGAGAAGTAAAAAACCAGGTTCATCGATAACAAAGCACAACTGAAACGGGGCATAGAATCGACATCAATACAACTTTAAAAATTACACAAGGAAATTGTCAAGGACGAATTCTTAGACTTCCAGAAGCTTTGGTTATTTGCAAATTTAAGCCCCATTTGTGTGCACAGAAACAAATCATCGTAACCTTGAATTTGCCCTGGTAATCCTAAAGTTATTTTGTGGCCTAGGATAATGAAACAATTTCCTGTTCGTTCCATACTGTGTTAATTTTCTTTCTCTGCTGTATACATTTATCATTTTGTCGACTTGAACTCTCCTTGATTTGACCCTTATTAATTTACTCATAAAGTGCCTTAAAAAGTATGTGTGTGACTAGATTGCTATAAAGTAAATAAGTTACACTTTTCAGGTCAATTTCGTCTTCTCAGTATTCTACCAATACTTAAACACTTTTTCTGGCCCGGACATGGTTCACTCTGCTATACAGAGAAAGGCGGTCTCGATCTTTACAACATTGCTTAATGTGATGTTTTCACATTCGCTAAGCCAGGGCACGGCTACAGAAAATTGGAAGCTGGAGCACATTACACCAATTTTCAAAGGAGGCCAAACCAATGGATCTTTAAGCTACTGGCCGGTAGCGCTTCTCTTAATATCCTTAAAAAGTCCTTGATATACGAGGGTCTACGCGACTACTGGTTATCTATAAAATTATTTTTACTACAGAAACATGGTTTCAGGAAGGGCCACTCTTGTATAAAAAATCTGCTGACTGCGGTGGACAAATGAACAACCATTCTTGGCCGCAAAGCGAAGATTGATTTGATATATCTTGACTTCTCAAGAGGCTTGACAGGGCCAATTATATATGTCTCATCGATAAATTCAAACTGTTAGGCGTCAAGTCACTGTTGATAGACTGGCTTACTTAATATCGAAATAATCGACTTTTAAGGTCACAATGAAGTTCAATTTTCCCCAGGCTACAGAATGTCTTATTGTGATCCTCCTGAGCCTAATACTAGGACCTAATTCTTCTACTTCACATAGGTGGCCTCCTCCAGCAAGTATCGTATAACGACGTTAAACTTCGGAAAAAAGCTTGCAATATAGATGATAAGCTGGAGCTTCAGAAGAATATAAATCGACTTTCAAGCTGAGTGGATAACACCGGAATTACTTTTAACGCTTCAAATTATAAAGTAACCAGAGACATGTTGCAGATTACGCATACAACTTGAACAACGCCTCTCTAGAGGTAGCCAGTGTTGAGAAAGATGTATGGGTCTTGGTACCCCATGATTTAACGTCTTGTGTTGGCTGTAGAAAAAATGCCTTTTGATTGGACATTGCACTGGGAACGTTGAAGCGCATTTTTAGCCAGTTTGACAATACAACTATCCGCTTAATCGCTAACAGATTTATTCGGAGTATGGAAAGTGTTTCCTCCTTCACTGCAAAAGCATATGAATACACTGGAACGTACCTGAAGGCAAGCTAAGAGAACCCAAATCCAAACCTTACGAAGAACGCCTCAAATCACTGGACGTTTGTCAATCACAGTATAGGCTTCTAAGAGGTGGTCTTTCATTAACTTGCAGCATCCTAACTACTCAAGACACTGAAGTAGTCCCAACACAAATCTTAGGGACGATATCCTCTATTTTGGCCTCAATCATTTGAACATGGACCTGCTACTATCTAATCTGAACGAGCCCTATATCACCAAGTGATATTGGAAAAAATTAACATTAAGACTAAACCTTACCTCATCTTTTAAAAAGGCACACGTATTCCCACAAGAATGACACTGGCGTGGCTCACCGAATCTGTTTCTGTAGTGTAAGCACCTCTGACAAACCAAAGCACTGCCAAAAGCAGTTTTTAAATTGCATATGGAACAAGACTGAGGCTCGCCATACTTGCTTTTAAGAGATTGACAGTGAGGGCAGATACCGCCGCAACTTAGGAAACCCCAAGAATAAACTGAGTTTCGGCAACTTACACATGGTATTTAAAGTCAGATTTGCAATATTCGCACTGTTTGAATGTGGAGTGGTGAGGACTGCACCTCTAAATATTATGGCACTAGAATGGATAGTGAAACGGAAATACTTTGCATGCTTGTCCAGACCTGGACATCTCAGACTGTGGGAAATTTTGCAGGCATTTTGTGCAAGAAAATAAAGGTTGATCCATTATGACTGCACTGAAGGGTGTCGAGTTCAAATGGTTGTGGACGGAATAGAAGAAGCTTTCGCTTAACAGGCTTCCGTGTCTAGTAGCAGGGGATCACCAAATCCTCCAGGCAGGAACCTAGGTATGTTAAGAATAAAAGAGGAAAAGAAATTGGTAAATCATAGTATGATACTGTCCTTGGTCCTTAAGAATAGGTCAAGTTGCCTCTTGAAGGACTCCTGAGAAGTCGCTTGGACTAGCTCGGCGGGCAGCGAATTCCAGCTTTTGACAACTCTTAAGGAGTAGAAGTTGTGTCTACATCCCGTCTTGCTATATTGAGTTTCCAGTTTCTGGGTGTTACCCCTTAGGTTATTATTCGAACTAAGCTTGAGTAGGTGTTTAAGAGGATGTCCAGAAGTGTTAAGAATACTATAAGCCATTAATAAATCACCTCTAAGACGCCTATACTCTAATGGGTAAAGGTCTAGTGAATGGAGGCGTTCTTCGTAAGGCTTAGATTTGAGTCCGCGAACTGATTTCGTGGCTCGCCGTTGGATACGCTCCAAAGTGATCTTGTCCTTTTGGAGTGAGGGGGGAGTTCACTGTTGTTAGTATGTGGTCGATCAGCAACTCTAGTAAGCGACTTTATAACTAATGCTTTAAGACCTACAACACAACAAAACAAGCATGATCCGACTCCCAGTAAGATTACACGAGACAACTTACACCCAAATCTCAAGTCAACGTTCAAATAAACGGAACGTCCAGAAGTGACATCCTTCACATGTTCCCGCCATTCAATGGCCAACTAATCTGATTTCTACGATTTCTGAGATGTCCAGGTGTGGACAAGCATGCAAATCATTTCTATTTCATTATCACTTATATTGCCGTAATAGAGGTTTATGCGTTATCCTCAATCCTATACACTGAGATGCAGTTGAGAAAATAAGCTCTGTTGCTCTTGTATTACCTAAAATTTCAGAGACCATCTTTAATCACAGAAATGAACTGGCACCACATAGCACAGAAGTGATGTATAATTTTCAAAACCATGAATTCGTTCTTCACAACACGCTGAATTTATAGGTGTACGTTGAGAAAATGAAGTTTATTCGTGGGGTTTCCTAAGTTGCGGCGGTATCTGCCCTCACTGTCAATCTCTTAAAAGCAAGTATGGCGAGCCTCAGTCTTGTTCCATATGCAATTTAAAAACTGCTTTTGGCAGTGCTTTGGTTTGTCAGAGGTGCTTACACTACAGAAACAGATTCGGTGAGCCACGCCAGTGTCATTCTTGTGGGAATACGTGTGCCTTTTTAAAAGATGAGGTAAGGTTTAGTCTTAATGTTAATTTTTTCCAATATCACTTGGTGATATAGGGCTCGTTCAGATTAGATAGTAGCAGGTCCATGTTCAAATGATTGAGGCCAAAATAGAGGATATCGTCCCTAAGATTTGTGTTGGGACTACTTCAGTGTCTTGAGTAGTTAGGATGCTGCAAGTTAATGAAAGACCACCTCTTAGAAGCCTATACTGTGATTGACAAACGTCCAGTGATTTGAGGCGTTCTTCGTAAGGTTTGGATTTGGGTTCTCTTAGCTTGCCTTCAGGTACGTTCCAGTGTATTCATATGCTTTTGCAGTGAAGGAGGAAACACTTTCCATACTCCGAATAAATCTGTTAGCGATTAAGCGGATAGTTGTATTGTCAAACTGGCTAAAAATGCGCTTCAACGTTCCCAGTGCAATGTCCAATCAAAAGGCATTTTTTCTACAGCCAACACAAGACGTTAAATCATGGGGTACCAAGACCCATACATCTTTCTCAACACTGGCTACCTCTAGAGAGGCGTTGTTCAAGTTGTATGCGTAATCTGCAACATGTCTCTGGTTACTTTATAATTTGAAGCGTTAAAAGTAATTCCGGTGTTATCCACTCAGCTTGAAAGTCGATTTATATTCTTCTGAAGCTCCAGCTTATCATCTATATTGCAAGCTTTTTTCCGAAGTTTAACGTCGTTATACGATACTTGCTGGAGGAGGCCACCTATGTGAAGTAGAAGAATTAGGTCCTAGTATTAGGCTCAGGAGGATCACAATAAGACATTCTGTAGCCTGGGGAAAATTGAACTTCATTGTGACCTTAAAAGTCGATTATTTCGATATTAAGTAAGCCAGTCTATCAACAGTGACTTGACGCCTAACAGTTTGAATTTATCGATGAGACATATATAATTGGCCCTGTCAAGCCTCTTGAGAAGTCAAGATATATCAAATCAATCTTCGCTTTGCGGCCAAGAATGGTTGTTCATTTGTCCACCGCAGTCAGCAGATTTTTTATACAAGAGTGGCCCTTCCTGAAACCATGTTTCTGTAGTAAAAATAATTTTATAGATAACCAGTAGTCGCGTAGACCCTCGTATATCAAGGACTTTTTAAGGATATTAAGAGAAGCGCTACCGGCCAGTAGCTTAAAGATCCATTGGTTTGGCCTCCTTTGAAAATTGGTGTAATGTGCTCCAGCTTCCAATTTTCTGTAGCCGTGCCCTGGCTTAGCGAATGTGAAAACATCACATTAAGCAATGTTGTAAAGATCGAGACCGCCTTTCTCTGTATAGCAGAGTGAACCATGTCCGGGCCAGAAAAAGTGTTTAAGTATTGGTAGAATACTGAGAAGACGAAATTGACCTGAAAAGTGTAACTTATTTACTTTATAGCAATCTAGTCACACACATACTTTTTAAGGCACTTTATGAGTAAATTAATAAGGGTCAAATCAAGGAGAGTTCAAGTCGACAAAATGATAAATGTATACAGCAGAGAAAGAAAATTAACACAGTATGGAACGAACAGGAAATTGTTTCATTATCCTAGGCCACAAAATAACTTTAGGATTACCAGGGCAAATTCAAGGTTACGATGATTTGTTTCTGTGCACACAAATGGGGCTTAAATTTGCAAATAACCAAAGCTTCTGGAAGTCTAAGAATTCGTCCTTGACAATTTCCTTGTGTAATTTTTAAAGTTGTATTGATGTCGATTCTATGCCCCGTTTCAGTTGTGCTTTGTTATCGATGAACCTGGTTTTCTACTTCTCACATTTATATGAACATTTGACACTAACTGGTTTTAAGGCCATCTGGGCACATGTCCCATAACCCTTGGTTGCATTGTTTGATTGCCTTCTCTATGTGCATGTATCCACACAAACATATATTGTCCTTGTTTAGACGCTTCAATTTCTGACATACGAGTCCCAGCGCTAACGCTTGCTTCTGAGACTCTTCTTAGGTTCCAAGTGAAGCTCTCGTCGATGTAATTTGCATGTGAATGTTGAAATATTTAAAAATACTGTTCTGACAAGCACTGCGGGATCGCCGTCGTTCTTGGTTGGACCATTAGGACTTAGCAACTGGAAAACTTTGGCTTGTCGAAGAAAGGCTGCATGAAGAAATAAACTTTTCGGGTTGCAGACAAATTTTTCGATTAGCTTTATCTAGTACTGAAGCCTATCTTCTCTTATCGTGCTTGTGCATCAGTTTATTGCTTGTTTGAACTGCCTATATCCAATGTCATTAGTTTATTTTTATTCCTCTCAGTAGTACCTTTTAAGTTTTAGCACTCTAAGAGTGCGACTATTTATGACTGTAGGTTGCTTGTAACTTTTGGGGACCGTTTGTGGAACAGAATGGCTTGTATAACGCTATCATAGCCATTCAATTACTAGCAAAGTGCAGCTCGAACATCCTGCTGACAACAGTTGAAACTTTAAGCGGATGTATTCGTTAGCCTTAAAGAACAATGTACACGATGTGGATTCGGTTGCCTTCCTTCAACTTGACTCGGACATTCACATTTGTGATATATCCCAAGATTAGAATGTGTCTTTTGAAGATAAATAACGTGAGATGATTCTAGTACCACTATTTCGACTTGAAAAAGTAGTTCCTGGATCACTACTTATAATTGTGATACGTTTGCTATTAAGTTAATTCACATTTTTATTTCGGTGGGAAATTTAAGAGTAAATGATTAATTTCTGGATTGAAATAATTTTGTGAGTAGTCACTTACTGCACTTGCACATATTTCACCAAGATTTCACACTGGAAATTTTTGTCGTGTTATTGCAAAAAATTCACCTAAACAATCCAATTATCTATTTCAATAAAAAGGTATTCACACATTGTTTTGTGGGTATAATAGCTTTTTTCGTTAATATGGAGTCACTATCTAATTGGTAAACCTATGCCCATACTCACTGTTGGTAGCTAAATTTATTAATTATTTTGTGTTCATTGTGACTTGACGTTTTTGTTTTCCGATATTCTCTGAAGCATCATTTTTCACTGAAATTACTATCGAGACAGTTTTCCAATCCGTATATTTTGTCCTCGTTTATTTGTATAGGCCAGCCGAGAGAAAGTTGATGGACAGATTCTTTGTTGGGTGTGTACATACAATTTTAAATTAGCTCGATCTAAAGAACGCTCTATTCATGGATTCAACAAACGTCGACATGATGGTTATCAGCCTTCAACTGCAAACCGTTCGAGATCAAGTCATAAGTAAGCCGGCCCCTTTCTTTTTCCCCTCACCATGTAATTAAGGTGCTAGAACTCAGGTTCCTGGTTGATTTCAATAGTATTTTGCAAAGCTCTAAACATCAAATCAATAAATAATGTCAATCTCGAGCTCTTTTAGAAACCGGTAAAGAAATATGTAGCAGTGAATTGTCTCTTTATTCATTTCCTATTTTTATGAATAGTTCACGGTTGCCTATGACTGTCTGACTGAATAGCCCATTGTTACAGGCAAATTTCGTTTCAAAGTCATAAAATTGAGCCAAGCAAAATGAAAGAGGCGATGTTTTTAGAATTTCAATGACCCCCATCCATTGATCTTGTGCTTAGATATCTACCTACGTCAAACAAGTACTGAAGGCTTAAATATTCTCTGACCTAACAACTACTAATATCATACCAACTGTAGACACACCAATCACTACTGAATGTTGGTGGCTAAATACCGTTGCTTTTATCGGAATAATTAAGCTCGGATTATATTTTGGTTCATATACATGTTTATCCTTGATTTAATAAACATAGAAATTTCAACGAAAAGGTTGTTTTAAAAAGGGTTTTACTAGGTGGAGGGGCTGATAAAACGCAATCTTTCATATAACTTGGTTAACAGTACAAGAATTTCCAGAATATCTCTCATCCACTGCGTCCAGTCAGTCAGATACAACGTAGGACCAGGCACATATATGCATCGGTCCAGGTTGCCATACCTCGTTAGCACCGAAAGATGAACACCGGATTCATGGGAGTGGTTAGGTTAAAGGTGGTAATATATGGGAGAAAGATTGCATATAAGGATACAATACCGGAATATATCATTAGTTCGTAGAAAGAAAGATATGAAGCGATTTTAATGTCTTAGTTTAAGGGAAGACAGGGAGTGTATGCACCGACGCCATTGTGATCGATTCTGAGCCATGTCACCAAGAGTCTCCAACCATTGGTTACGAAAGTCACGCGGATCCCAACCAGGTAGTCTGCATCTACCAACATGGCTCAGACTAGAGATTAGTGTCTTCGCGCACTGATGCCACGTTTTGGTTTGGCCGCCCCTAATTCTCTTCCAACCATCTCTGCGTCCAGAGTGTTACTTCAGTAGTGCTCTACTTTAATTCTCAGTTTGGAAGTATGGTGAAGCAATGGAGTCATTTGGTCACCCCACTTTAAGAGTAAATAACTGGTGAGTTGGTGGTAGATAATATCAGAGAAAACACAAAATGCTCATCCTGCTTTTATCACTTTGTACCAGTAATGATGCAGGAGAGATATCTAACTACCCAATATAAAACGAATATTTTATGAAGTCCGCACAATGCTCTTTGACTGGTAGGGACGTTTACCCAAGGCAGATATCTGTAAGTCACAAATATTCATGATTGTCTCTGAAACAACATCCTCTCTTTATAGATTGTCAGAGCATTCGGTGCTTGCCCAGTTACTATCTAGTGCGTCAAGTTTTGCCGGCTAAGATGGAAGTGGATCAAGGACCGATGCTGCCCAGACAAAAGCAGCTGCAGTCCACAATATCTATGAGTGATCTTCCGACCCGTGTGGGGAATTTCGGGTTCATTGTATCTCATTCTATGAGATCGTGTCATATCGGGTTCAGTGTTTCTATGTCTGCTACAATGTTTATTTGATGACTCATGGGAATTGTTAAAAATAATATTCCTTAATTCTTTAAAATAAAAGGTTAGAATCTTAGTGCCCATATTTCGTTTTCTAGACAAATTAAAAAGCTGTATTCACATAAACTTTTGAATTTTAGCTCTCTTAAAAAGACTTATACCGATGGGTTTGGAACAAGGCAAATTGACACGCAGATGCATGCACAACAGGCTTTAACTACTCAAGCACTAAGGTAAGTAATAGGTCATTGAGCAGGATTTATGTGTATATGCAAACGCTAATTGTGTGGTCATATGGAATGCTAGTGACTTATGAGTTTTTTAAAAACTAAGCAGTTCCCTATAGACGCTAATGCTGTCAGACGTACCAGGACAACGCACCTAAGTTTGAATGCATTTAAAAGACTATTTTGGTTCCTCGAAATATTTGTATATGAAAATAAATGAATAATAAGGGGTTCTGCAACAAATAATTGTTAGTTTCCGTTAAACTAATTCAAGGTAATTAACTCGTCAATAACAATTAATCTCAACGCATACTAGCACAGATGTGTGGCTGAACAGATAAGAAGAGTGTTAACCAATAAGGAAATAGTTCACAATTGATAAAATGCAAGATAATAAAGTCCAGTTCCTCACAAGTGACATAGTTATAATACATACATTTCAAGAACCATGTGCTGTGAAATACTTTTTCGTTAGAGATGAATGCACTGTTTAGACTAAAACGACCTCGGGGATTGTATGAATACGGTCGGATCATTCAATGAGCTTTTGTTCGACCTATCAACGACTATATTTCTTCTGAACAAAGTTTCTCATTGCTGTCTATGTTTCTTACTAACTCATTTGCCTGGTAATTAGAAATGAGCCGCGCTAATAATTTACTATTTGGTTACCTAAACCGAAGTAGGTGAAGTGGGATTCAAACCCCCGACCAGAGATCTCTAAGCAAAGCTGTCTTAGAATCTCTTTTCCAAGTTTGCCAAGTTCTCGACGCCCTGTGATCCTCGATTCATCACTTTCCCGTTTGCCTGAGAATTTCAAGTTAGAACTTGCGTCGTGATTCAGTTCAATGGTTTCTACAGTGTCTTACCCACCTAACGCTTTTTCTTAATTTCCTTAACTGGAAGTCAGTTTCTTCACAGTCAGAGTATGTTATTGCTGATGGTCTCTAGACAATGGATCCGGAGTATCTTGCGTAGACACCTGTTTATAAACATTTGTACCTCATTATGGTGGTTGTGGTAGTTCTCCAAGTCTCAGCTCTTTACGATATAAAACTGCGTTGACGTTAGTGTTGAAAATTGTGACTTTAGTGTTGAGTGACAGTTGTTTTGAGTTCCAGATATTCTTCAGTTGTAGGAATGCTACCCTTGGTTTGTTGATTAGTGCTTTCACGTCCAAATCAGATCCTCCTTGTTTATCGATGTTGCTGTCTAAATAGTGTGGGTTTCTACTTCTTCCAGAGCTTCTCCATCAAGTGTGGTTTGGTTGGTGCTCACTGTTTTGCGTTTCATGATCTTTCTTCTTCTCTTGTGAATGTGTTATAGCTCAAAACCGCCAATCAGAAGCAGTGAATTATCAATCAGACCAAGGACGCGTAAAACACGTACGAGCAGTCTAGAATCCTGATTGGTCCTGCTTTCCACCTAGCCCAAACAGTTAAGTCCAAAACATCAGTCTCAGCCTTGTTATATTTCAAACATACTGAGTTTGTATACCAATCAAACAGACCACAACGTAACATAAAATAGAAAATAACATTTGTACAAAATATGGTCAAATGTGGTTGTGAATGTGGGAGGCAGTGACTAGTAGACAGGGCATAATTCAAGAATGGTAAACGTATAATAATGGTTCATAGGTCAAAATAAGGCTTATAATAAGAGGAACATGAATATGAATAGTTTAGTTATTTAACAATTATACGATAAAAATATACGTTTAGTATTGGTCCATGAAAGGATCCCAAAGTTACCATTCATTATGTTTCTCGGGACCTAATAGAATGTTGAGGCCTATTTCTGTGGAAGCGGCTAGTACACTGGATATCTTCGTCTGCATTTGTTTTCGTGTATGCGATTGGGGGTCTGAGTCATCTCCAAAGCCCATATCGTCCAGTTGTGTCCACCGTATTCCATGTTCCTCCGTACGTATAGGGGTTCTCATTATCCAGTTGACAGATAGCAGTAAGAAAATGGACGAGAATATGGAGCCTTTTTGACACCGGTCCTCAGTTGAAATACGTCTTGTAACTGTTCTCCACATACAGCTTTGCAGTTCAATCCTTTATGAGGGTTCCGTATGATGGTGACTATCTTCTTATTCTGCATTGACTGCTATCTTCCGTTTCCTATCTCTTTAATATTTATCAGGCTATTTGCATTCTTTATGTCCATGCTTTTTGCTAACCACCACCTTTAAAAAAGGTTCACGTCATTCCTCTAACAACCATCGGGGGATAAGTCTGCTTCCGATCGCGTCCAAGCCATTGACTTCCATCATACTTCGCAGGTTGTTCAAAACCCGAGAAAGATTGACTTGCGAGGAGCAGGCTGGTTTTTATTCCGGTCGAGGATGTATTGATCATATCTTCATCCTCCACCAAATGTTAGAACAACGTAAGGTTTAGTCTTAATGTTAATTTTTTCCAATATCACTTGGTGATATAGGGCTCGTTCAGATTAGATAGTAGCAGGTCCATGTTCAAATGATTGAGGCCAAAATAGAGGATATCGTCCCTAAGATTTGTGTTGGGACTACTTCAGTGTCTTGAGTAGTTAGGATGCTGCAAGTTAATGAAAGACCACCTCTTAGAAGCCTATACTGTGATTGACAAACGTCCAGTGATTTGAGGCGTTCTTCGTAAGGTTTGGATTTGGGTTCTCTTAGCTTGCCTTCAGGTACGTTCCAGTGTATTCATATGCTTTTGCAGTGAAGGAGGAAACACTTTCCATACTCCGAATAAATCTGTTAGCGATTAAGCGGATAGTTGTATTGTCAAACTGGCTAAAAATGCGCTTCAACGTTCCCAGTGCAATGTCCAATCAAAAGGCATTTTTTCTACAGCCAACACAAGACGTTAAATCATGGGGTACCAAGACCCATACATCTTTCTCAACACTGGCTACCTCTAGAGAGGCGTTGTTCAAGTTGTATGCGTAATCTGCAACATGTCTCTGGTTACTTTATAATTTGAAGCGTTAAAAGTAATTCCGGTGTTATCCACTCAGCTTGAAAGTCGATTTATATTCTTCTGAAGCTCCAGCTTATCATATATATTGCAAGCTTTTTTCCGAAGTTTAACGTCGTTATACGATACTTGCTGGAGGAGGCCACCTATGTGAAGTAGAAGAATTAGGTCCTAGTATTAGGCTCAGGAGGATCACAATAAGACATTCTGTAGCCTGGGGAAAATTGAACTTCATTGTGACCTTAAAAGTCGATTATCTCGATATTAAGTAAGCCAGTCTACCAACAGTGACTTGACGCCTAACAGTTTGAATTTATCGATGAGACATATATAATTGGCCCTGTCAAGCCTCTTGAGAAGTCAAGATATATCAAATCAATCTTCGCTTTGCGGCCAAGAATGGTTGTTCATTTGTCCACCGCAGTCAGCAGATTTTTTATACAAGAGTGGCCCTTCCTGAAACCATGTTTCTGTGGTAAAAATAATTTTATAGATAACCAGTAGTCGCGTAGACCCTCGTATATCAAGGACTTTTTAAGGATATTAAGAGAAGCGCTACCGGCCAGTAGCTTAAAGATCCATTGGTTTGGCCTCCTTTGAAAATTGGTGTAATGTGCTCCAGCTTCCAATTTTCTGTAGCCGTGCCCTGGCTTAGCGAATGTGAAAACATCACATTAAGCAATGTTGTAAAGATCGAGACCGCCTTTCTCTGTATAGCAGAGTGAACCATGTCCGGGCCAGAAAAAGTGTTTAAGTATTGGTAGAATACTGAGAAGACGAAATTGACCTGAAAAGTGTAACTTATTTACTTTATAGCAATCTAGTCACACACATACTTTTTAAGGCACTTTATGAGTAAATTAATAAGGGTCAAATCAAGGAGAGTTCAAGTCGACAAAATGATAAATGTATACAGCAGAGAAAGAAAATTAACACAGTATGGAACGAACAGGAAATTGTTTCATTATCCTAGGCCACAAAATAACTTTAGGATTACCAGGGCAAATTCAAGGTTACGATGATTTGTTTCTGTGCACACAAATGGGGCTTAAATTTGCAAATAACCAAAGCTTCTGGAAGTCTAAGAATTCGTCCTTGACAATTTCCTTGTGTAATTTTTAAAGTTGTATTGATGTCGATTCTATGCCCCGTTTCAGTTGTGCTTTGTTATCGATGAACCTGGTTTTCTACTTCTCACATTTATATGAACATTTGACACTAACTGGTTTTAAGGCCATCTGGGCACATGTCCCATAACCCTTGGTTGCATTGTTTGATTGCCTTCTCTATGTGCATGTATCCACACAAACATATATTGTCCTTGTTTAGACGCTTCAATTTCTGACATACGAGTCCCAGCGCTAACGCTTGCTTCTGAGACTCTTCTTAGGTTCCAAGTGAAGCTCTCGTCGATGTAATTTGCATGTGAATGTTGAAATATTTAAAAATACTGTTCTGACAAGCACTGCGGGATCGCCGTCGTTCTTGGTTGGACCATTAGGACTTAGCAACTGGAAAACTTTGGCTTGTCGAAGAAAGGCTGCATGAAGAAATAAACTTTTCGGGTTGCAGACAAATTTTTCGATTAGCTTTATCTAGTACTGAAGCCTATCTTCTCTTATCGTGCTTGTGCATCAGTTTATTGCTTGTTTGAACTGCCTATATCCAATGTCATTAGTTTATTTTTATTCCTCTCAGTAGTACCTTTTAAGTTTTAGCACTCTAAGAGTGCGACTATTTATGACTGTAGGTTGCTTGTAACTTTTGGGGACCGTTTGTGGAACAGAATGGCTTGTATAACGTAAGATAATGCGCAACAGGAAAGACATGTGATTGTCCGAATCAAGTGAAAGGAAGTCAACCGAGTCCACGTTTTGTAGATTTTCGTCTTTGGTTAGTGATTTTATCAGGACACTGACGTCTTGAAATAGGAATCTTAGTTCTAGCTCTCATCACCTCTCCTCTTCACCACTGAGCCCGTATCCTTTTGTCTTGATGTCCGACTGCATGCAATCTACCTCTTTGAGCCAAGTTCGTCCAT